GCCCCTTCATCTACTTGAAGGGGGAAAAATGTATTAAAAAGAGTAGAAGAAAACAAATTGCAAGCACTATCAACAAGAACTTGGAGAAAAACATCAATATAAATAATAGTATCCAATAACATAGTCCTTGGATGTTTGTTTTACATATTTTTTAAAAACATTTTATTTATAATGAAACAGATTTCCTTTGGTATAACACAGATTATTACATGTACATATGAGGTCAATTTCAAAACTTCTGGACTCTTCTCTAGATTTCTAAACTTCCCTGTGCCCCCCTCCCCCCTCACATCTTACCAGGTTGAAAACCACTGCTGTAAGATTTCATTAATTACATACAAAAGGGTAAAGTAAATAGCATTTCTGACATCATGAAGTATATTAGGTATATGGTGAAAGCTCCAAAGTTTAAGATACATCTCTAACCAATTGGTGATATGGTGAATCTCATGTTTGCTGCATTTACTTCCCAGTAATTTTCCTAATACCCATGTAGGTAGGCGCTCTAGCTACAGTGGCTCCCACCACATGGGGTAGTAAGAGAGCAAACCACAACACAATTGACAACTGTTATTTTCTTCTTCTTCTTCGCGTTCACCAGCTGTACACTCTGGCGGAAAGTTCTGGTTGCTCGTCCACTACTGAACTGCAGTCCTTCTCTCTTTTTTAAAATATTTTAAAAAAATCTTTTATATATCTCCTCTGGTCAATATCTTCCTCTTCACATACCATCAAACAGCAGCTTGAAGATATCTTACGAAAGTAGCGGCAACTTGATTCATTCACAGAGTTGGTTCTCAGAAGGTGCATCGGTGGGTAAGAATGGTTTTTCTTTGTTTCTCACATGCTAGTCACTTTTATTGCAAATTTTTAGCCATTTGTTTTCGTCTTCTTCTTCTCTTTCTCCAGCTAACTCAGTAAAGTTTTCAACAAAGGGGTAGGGCTTCGGGTTGACTTGTGCTCTTTGTAATGAGGTGTGTAAGCTAGTCATCATTTCTTTAAGGTTGTTCTTGATACTGCTGCAGTATCATCAGTGTCATCTTCCCTTTGCTCTGAGCTCATCTATTTCTTCAACACTGCTCCATATCATATGATATCATGTTACCAATTTTAGTTATATTAAACTAAACAAGTGTTTTTTTCAGCTGGTTATGTCCTGTGCAGTCTAAAGATAGGTACTTATTCAATACCTTTAACAAGAATGACTCAGTCTGCTTGCTGCACCAGGGTGTTACGATGGCATGTGATTAAAAAAATCAGCAAGGACATACTCCTGAAAGGTTTGAGGAAGTGGCTGCTATCCAGCTGATGTCAAAAGTCAATTAATCAGAAATATGACTAGGAAACTCAATCGAGGAAAGACACAAAAAGATAAAAACAAACACTTGACCAAAATTCTTTGTTAATTAAAAAAAAAAAAACAAATACTTGGCTGAAAATAGAAGTATCCCAATTCCTAAATGGTTCTGCAGACGTCATAATGAAATATAACAGACTGAAAATATAAAACTGACTCTCTAGGAAACGAAACAAGACAGAAATATGTGAACACGGGTATTATGAAATTACAAACTGCAGCGGTAACTCCTAAGCAACTGACACTGACAAGATGAAAGGAAGCCATCCCCCCCCCCAGGCCACTGATGACAAGATGAAAGGAAGCCATACCCCTTGGCCACTGACGACAAGTTGAAAGGAAGCCATCCCCCCCAGACCACTGATGACAAGATGAAAGGAAGCCATCCCCCTAGACCACTGACGACAAGATGAAAGGAAGCCATCCCCCCAGGCCACTGATGACAAGATGAAAGGAAGCCCTCCCCCCAGGCCACTGACGACAAGATGAAAGGAAGCCATCCCCCTAGACCACTGACGACAAGATGAAAGGAAGCCATCCCCCCAGGCCAATGTCGACAAGATGAAAGGAAGCCATCCCCCCAGACCACTGACGACAAGATGAAAGGAAGCCATCCCCCCAGGCCACTGAGGACAAGATGAAAGGAAGCCATCCCCCAGGCCAATGTCGACAAGATGAAAGGAAGCCATCCCCCAGGCCAATGTCGACAAGATGAAAGGAAGCCCTCCCCCAGGCCACTGACGATAAGATGAAAGGAAGCCACCCCCCCCCCCCCACCCCCCACCCCCAGGCCACTGATGACAAGATGAAAGGAAGCCCTCCCCCCAGACCACTGACGACAAGATGAAAGGAAGCCATCCCCCCCAGACCACTGACGACAAGATGAAAGGAGCCATCCCCCCAGACCACTGACGACAAGATGAAAGGAAGCCATCCCCCCCAGACCACTGACGACAAGATGAAAGGAAGCCATCCCCCCCAGACCACTGACGACAAGATGAAAGGAAGCCATCCCCCCAGGCCACTGAGGACAAGATGAAAGGAAGCCATCCCCAGGCCAATGTCGACAAGATGAAAGGAAGCCATCACCCAGGCCAATGTCGACAAGATGAAAGGAAGCCATCCCCCAGGCCACTGACGACAAGATGAAAGGAAGCCCACCCCCCCCCCCCAGGCCACTGATGACAAGATGAAAGGAAGCCCCCTCCCAGGCCACTGATGACAAGATGAAAGGAAGCCCTCCCCCAGGCCACTGACGACAAGATGAAAGGAAGCCACCCCCCCCCCCCCCAGGCCACTGATGACAAGATGAAAGGAAGCCCCCCTCCCAGGCCACTGACGACAAGATGAAAGGAAGCCCCCCTCCCTGGCCACTGATGACAAGATGAAAGGAAGCCATCCCCCAGGCCACTGACGACAAGATGAAAGGAAGCCACCCCCCCCCCCCCCCTAGGCCACTGATGACAAGATGAAAGGAAGCCCCCCTCCCCGGCCACTGATGACAAGATGAGAGGAAGCCATCCCCCAGGCCAATGTCGACAAGATGGAAGGAAGCCACCCCCCTAGGCCAATGACGACAAGATGAAAGGAAGCCAGATACTGATTCCTGCTAGACCGATATTGCCTAATCTGTAAAAAACAATATAATTCCAGAAAGAGCTGTTTTACCTACTGTAGCTTTGCTGTTAAATGCATAGGGATGAGTTTGGCAGCCAAGTTAAGGATATTCATTTCCCATGTGGGTTCAAAGGTCCCATTTTGAGAGAGAAAAAATAGACCTATCACTCCCCCTAACAAGGGTGTCATAAAAGATGACTAGCAGTGGTTTGCTGAAACTGGGATGTGTTAGGCAAAAAAGCGCAGATATCACAGCCTAGCTGTAAAGCACAACACAATAGGCTGTTTAGAGGCCAAAGGCAGAAAAAAAAGAGGATATCTATGAGATATAACAATATAAATTGCTGTATCTGACAATATAAACAAAGGACCACCCAGGACCAAGAATAAATACAGAACTATCATACTTTGTGATCAGTATGTGTGTGATGCGTATGAGCATATGAAAGAATCTATGTATGTGGGTGTAAACATATATATAAGTGTGTGAATATTTGTAAATAGCAAATGCATTATGAATTAAACATAGTCGTTTTCCTAGCATAGAAACACACATATTGCACACTACTAACTAATCATACCCACGAAGAAATAGAGCTTTAAATCAATAAAAAATGAGGTAATTAATCTCACTTAGCATCTAACAGCCAACAATAAAAATCAAAGTAAAAAACAAAGGCTGCCCATAACGTCCGCCTGATTATCAAATGGATATCTAGTCTACAGAAATCAACCAAATAAATAAAACATGATGAAAACACACAAATGCTTAACTCTGAATGCCAGAGCTGTAAATTTCAACAATAAATTAATGCAAACGTAAAAACCGAGACAATTCAACGTAAAAACAAAACTGAGACATGTATATGTTGTAGTTATCGTTCTACCTGCTTGTGGTTTATAGGTGTTGAGTTAATTCAAGGACCGCCATCACAGCATTCAGGGCATTCCTATAAGCACCTTGTCCCCATCTTCAGCAGCCAGCGCAGAGTTCCAATACCAATGGCACCAGAAGCAGTCTGATTGTATGTCCGTCTTGCTTTTCCTCTAAGCGTCAGTTGGAATGCTAACTTGCCAGACTTAGGATCTCAACAGAGTACATGTTACAGTTGTCTTGGGTCCTGGTGTAATGAGATCAGTTAGATTGCTTGCCAGCTCTTCTCATAAAATTACCTGGTTGCCATCTTGTGAGTCTGGAGGACCTAGGAACAAGAATCCTACCACTAACATGGAATCTGGGTCACTATATCAGTAGGAAGTGAACCTAGCTTCAGTCCCATCTAGCGAGTCTGGATGACATGGGAACAAGAATCCTACCACTAACGTGGAATCTGGATCAGTACATCAGTAGGTAAGTGAACCTAGCTTCAGTCTCATCTGCACAGAAAACACTAGTCAGCAACCAAAATGCACCATAAATAAAAATTGCTGATCTTAACTAACTCTTGTATGCTGAAAACAAAAACCACACTATGTTAACTGGCTCTAGTTTGCTACCAGTTTATTTAATTATGGTCAGTTTATATATATGACACAACTGTTATGGGCGATTGCATAATTTATGTATAATAACCAATAACAATTTGACCAGAAGTTTATGATGCAAACCTACCTATGATTACATCACCTTCATGCATAAATATCTTATCTCTGATAAAATTTTGCCATTAGTTAGTGAAACTGCCCCTATCAAAAATATTGTCATTATAAATGTCTAGGACATATGTGAACAGCCCTAATCAGAAATATGGAATTACAAATATTCTAAAAGGTTACTAACTGGGAAATTTCCCAATTGTAACATGCATTGCACATTCACCAAGCAAAAATTGTACAAGAAAAAATGAAAGGGGTGTAGTGGTAAATATGTAAGCAAAGAGAAAAGCATAAAAACTGTAATAACATATAATTTCCCTTGTACACTTTGTGCAGTCTACCAGAGACAAATAGGCGTCACCACAACCATACTACATTAGATAAAACACTGATCAAATATATTTAACTATTGTTTTATAAGGTGACAGAGTTATCTAGCAGGGGCTGCCTCTTTTGCCAGGGTCGAGTCCTCTTCCCTCTCCGCTGCATGTTGTTTCATGTCTTGCAGTGCGTGGACAAAGTTCGACCACTCGTCAGACTTAGGGTTTGCAATGTGCTGGTGAAATAAAATTAACGAATTCACTAGAGAAGTTCAAATCAAAATATTGTTTTTAAAAAAAAGTAGGCATTATATTTCTACAAAATATATACTGTCTCAGGGATAAGTACCTGCTGTGTGTGGGACATATTTTCAATCTGTAAAACAGATTTTGTACACGATCAACACATTAAATAATCCTCCTTGAGTGGGTGCGAGGGCTCTAGGCAACAACAACAACAACAAATAACAGATGCACAGCCCAACAATAAGCATGTTGTAAAAAGAAAACAAAATAAGGATTTGCTGATACCGAATGTGTTTGGCTGAAAGGTATGGATATCACAGCATAGTTTGTTCTCCTTTTTTAGCATTCACCGGCTGTAAACTCTGGCCAAAAGTTCTGGTTCTTTGTTCACTTTTGGAGTTTGGTCTTGTTCCAGAACCTGAGTTTACATGCAAATAAGCTTTACAGATCTAGCTTATCTATATGCAGACTGTTGGTTCCTAGCCTCTAAAGCAGATGTACTCCATTTTGAAAGGAAACATCTATTCTTCTTTTTTGCGTTCACTGACTGCAAACTCTGGTGGAAAGTTTTGGCTCTTTGTCCCCTTTTGAAGTGTGGTATTGTTCCAGAACCTGAGTTTTGTGTGCAATTTCATATCACAGATTTGGCTTATCTGTATGCAGACTGCTGGTTCCTTGCCTCTCAGGCACACGCATTCCAACTTTGAAGGAAACATTCCCAATTAGTCAACCTTTGCCACATACATTTAAGAGGGCATAGGATCCATTCTTTTTTAACCTCAAAAATGGGGGGCCATCCAGGGACCCACACTAAGACCACAACATAGCTGTAACCACAAACAGCCTGCCAACCGAGCTTCTCTAAAGGGCTGATGCAGAAGAAGAAGAAAAGATAACCCATCAGCTACAACGTGACAATCAGCAAAGACTAGGCAGCACAGTATATACCTCTCCCACATCGTACACATGAATGCGGCCATTATTGTCTCCAACACTGATGTGGTGCCCAGTTTCATGCCATCTGCACTGGTTCAGTGCTGGTTTCCCATCAATAACAATGGAAGCGGTTGGCACCTGAAACACACGGAACAAAATATATATGTCTGATCTGTTTACATACAAATATATACACACATATATATGCATACATTGTTGAACTATTTTATATATATATATATATATATATATATATATATATATATATATATATATATATATATATATATAGATAGATAGATAGATATATAATAGTTCAACAGAGTATGCATATTGTTTGTTATGTATAACTTATGGCAGAAATAACATTTCTTTTATCTCTTATATCATGCAACTTCTACATAAGGAAGGATAATAAAATAATAATTGTTATGTGGTTAATACATGCCATCAGGTAATAAATACTCTCCAGTGAGTATTAGCAACTTTATTTTTAAAATACATGAGACCCCTTTAAAAAAAAAACACCCAACAGCCATAAGTAAACAATTAGACTCAGTAATTCACATTTTGGAAAAGAAAGGGAAGAAGTTAGTTACAAGAAGCAGCAAAGAACAGCTTGGGAGAGATGGCTGAGAGATAAAAGGAAGAAGGATATTACATCTCTTCTTTTTATTGTGTACCACTCACCCCTTTGTGGGATACAATTTTTAGTTATTTTGAAGCCCCACCCTGGCTTATGCTGGGGTCCCTAAATTAAGCCAGGCCTGAAATATGGCCTAACGGCTGAACGGGGTTTCTGGGGCCTCTCAAAAAGTGATCCTCTGCATGGTGGCACTTTGTGTCACCTGGTGTTTATTGTTTGTGTGATGTACTGGTGGGATACAACTTACCTGCATACATACATCTCTTCTAACCTCCACCCTAGAAAAGCAGTAAACAAAAAAAAAAAAAAGGGCAGGGAAAACAATTTACTGGAGGCTAGAGGAAGAGAATCAATAATGCTGATCTTTGGGAAATAACTAAATGAATTCTGGTGAATCAAGAGGTGAAGAAAAGTTGCTGGTGTTGGATAGGACACACACTGAGAAAACCTGAGAACAATGCAGGGTACAACTAGAATGTCTTTGCACTGGGACCTGTAGGGGCACAGAAATAAAGGCAGACCACAAAATGCATGGAGAAGGGAGCTAGAGAATGAAGTTAACAAAGATAGGGAGGATAGGTGGCAAGCTGCCACAAGCAATAGCAAAGGATTGGGCGGCCTGGCGTGAGTTGGTTGAGGGCCTATGATCCACTAGCGCATTAAGGTCAGAAGAACACAAAAACAAAACACAAACACTTCCCCACTGCAGTAAATGGAGAGAAATGCAGTACAGGAGAGAAAACACTGAAAACACATCTATGTTACCGGGATTCATAAAAGAAGTAAAGTACAGTAACACTCTAATCCACCATCCAAGTTGTGAGAGGCGAGTAGAGAAAACTGGAGTGTCACACTGGATACTTCATTTTGTAGAAACATATAGCTGTAAATTCCAGTTACTCTTGAACTCTAAACAGAACTGACAAAGTTACATAAATTATGCATGAGCCAAATAGCTGTCTCTCAGTGTCTTACTGCAGAACAGACTTCAGAACATGTACTGCGAGACTGTTCTCTTCTGAAGGTGCATTGTAACAACATGTGGCCACACCCAAGTTGACCTGACTACTAAGCTTTGGGGGGAAATCTGAGAGACCTTGAACTGACATCCCAGTTTATGCCCAACAGTGGATTAAGCACATGACCAGAGATCTCTGGAGAAGAAGAAGAAATAATCCAGCCAGTGATGAACAAGTTTACAAAGGGAAAGCTTGGGAAATGAGTTGGTGACAGCTTATACTCTACACTGGGCATATGACGTTAAACAGAAGAAAGGGATGACAAAGAAACAATGGTGTACAGTAAAAAGGTTAAAGTAAAGTCGATCAATTTCACGGCACCAGGTTTTATCCCATATGGCTCAGTCTCTCTCTGCAGAACGGCTAGCTGCCTGTAGAAAGCATCACACAAATCATGAAGTCCATAGCTCCGGCAACAATCATTTTAGGCCTCCATAAAAACGGCACTAATGAACTACACAACAAAGTCAAGAAACAAACCCATGACCTTCACAGCATGAGGCAAATGGCTTGACCACATTGCCAAGCAGACCTCCTATGTGTACAGTTTTCACCAGCAATGTATCTGACCACCCAACAATAAAAAAGTATGTTCTCAAACCTCTGTCTCATTATTAAGGTTCCACAGATCCAGCCGGCCTTCTCCATCCACGCTGGCAAAGAGGGCGGGGTGTATTGGTGACCACCTGACATCATACACGTAATCATTGTTGTCCTCAAAAGAGTGGATGTAATATGGTTGCTGTTGAGGAGACAAATTCGGAACACATTTACTCTTATTGCTGTCCAGTTGAGGGGGGGGGGGGGGATGTTTACGCATGCTCGCACAGGTGAAAACAGTGTGTGCAAATACACATGCATGCGAACACACATGTGTAAGGTTAATGGTAAAAGACCGTTTTCACAAACTGAAGTTACCGGTGTGGATTACAGGGCAACACTACACCACCCCCACCCACTGCATCCAACAAGTTATGTGATAAAAAGCAACTAATTAAGAGTTAGTTAGTTAGTAAGTTAGGGTATCATCATTGCACTCCGGATATGTCCATAGGTGCTCAGATCCTCCCCTCAGTATGAACCCCAACGTCCGATGGCTAATAGTACCAGTTCTATGCTGATTAACGAGTCTTCTGGTGTCTCTGGTGTGCGTCTCATTTTTTGCTATGCCGATCTTAATCCCCAAGTCTGCCATTCTGGCGAGTGATGTGGATTCACTGCCCCCAAAATCCTCTATCCTTCCCATTTCTCTGAGGGCATTAATAATATCAGCATGATCCATAGGCTGACCCTCGGTAGTGATACCGGATCCAGCCAACCTGTCAGCTCTTACATTACCATCGACGCCTGCGTATTCCCGGATCCAAAAAAAAAGGTGACTCCATGCACAGTGGACTTCTGTGATGATTAAAGCCATTGTTTTTGCACCGAACCTGCCTGAACCCTCCGAATCATACTCATTGAATCTAATTAGTAGTGTTTCCTTTGAAGCCAGAGTGCATCTGCCTGAGAGGTGAGGAACCTAAAAGTATGCATTCAAATAAGCTAAATCTGTAGAATGGATGTAAATACAAAACTCAGGTCCTGGAATAAAACAAAAGTCTATGAAGTGGATGAACAACCAGAATTTTCTGCTGGAATTTATAGCTGATTATTGCGAAGAAGAAGAATTGTGGCCTTAAACCCTTCACCCATATCACATATCTGCCCTGTTTTCCTCATGAAAACTAAAACTCTCCCCGAATGATGCAGAACAACAAAAACTATTACAAAAAAGTACCTTCATACTCCAGAGTTTGACCGTCCAGTCAAAGGAAGACGTGAGGAAGTACTGGGAGAAGTCGACTTGTCCGGACACTCTGTGTGTGTCTATGCCAGTGATGGGACCCTGATGACCCTCAAACACGTCATTGACCCCAGCTTTGCTGTAAACCAAACATCAACAGCGTGACCACCCCAGTGAATGTGGTGGCATAATGAAGAGATGTAATTTAACATGCCAGAACTCACAACAGGCATGTCTGTCGATAATAGTAAGTAATTCGATGTTATCACAATCAATGTCACTGCACAATGGGCATACCTATGTGTGCTCAGTCCTTCAATGCAGCAGCTACTCCAAGGTACCTCTATTGATAGTTACCACGAGAGGTTGGTTATAATGTCTCCTATCTCAGCCTTAAAGGGGGTATAGACATGCTTCACCATGCTTTATTCCCAAGTGACCCAATCATGTTGGTGTCACAGATTCGTCATTATCCACTAGCCTAGCCTGTATAGCTCTGATGACATCTGCTTTGTCTATGCTTCTCCCTGCATGCGTTCATGAAGTCTGATACAATTACTGCACACATGACTGCTTGCTTTGTGACCAGATGAGTGCCGTGGAAGCAACGATTATCTCTATGGTCATGTCTGACACAGTTGCCTCGTAAGCACTACCATCTTCTTTTATTGTATTCCCATTCTTTCCGCTGCACATTCCCAGCCTGTAAGTCATAACAGTGTGCCTCTGTGGCTTAGAGGTTGATGAAACTGTTTTACAATGCAATACTCAATATTTACCAAGGTTCGATTCTGGCGGATGGTTTGAAAAAACCCCCAAAAGACTGTTCTGGTTGCTTTTGGACAGTGATTTGAGTTGCACCATGGAAAAGAATAAGGTATCACTACGTCAACCAATCAATCAGGTGATGTCTCTACAATCAAGGTTGGCTGCAATGGATCTCCAACCCTCTTTTCCTGGTAGACCACTCCCTTAGAGTGCTGTGTCTCAATATCTTGATTTTGTCCTCCCACTTACATTGTTGTCTCCCTTTTGCTATCTTGTTTTTCGACTGTTTTCTCAAGTATGATTTTCAAAACAGTGTTATGTCTTTTAGTGTGGCTTCACTGGTGAACCAAAAAACTCAGTTCATGAAACAAACCTACAGCTTTCAGAGTGTGATACAAACAGCTTAACCACTCAGCCATGGAGAAAAAGAAAGGCAATGAATAAGGACCAAACATATGAGTCACAAATAACATGCTGCCTTGCAGGAAAACTGGAGGATCAAAGATTAGGGAAAGCAACACAGGGAAGAAAAGACTGTCACAGTTGAATGCACTGGGTTACAAGCTTGACAAGCCTGCACAACTTACCTCCCATGTCTACAAGCGGAGTAGACCAAACATTCCTCGGAGCCTACAATAAAATTGTTGGCATCTCCTGAGAGGAAGCTGTAGCAGGTGGCCGCCACTGGCTTGTTCTGCTTGGACTGTAGCTCCATGCTGTCCTGCACCAAGGAATTAGAGACCACACAATTATCAACACTGACACAGACACTTGCGGGAGAGATCAGCTGCAGACCAACTCCTGGCAGGAGGCAGACAGTGAAAGACGACTGTTGCACTTTGCAACACAAGAGGAGATCCTTCTGAGAGGAAACCAGCCCCAGTACAGTGCGATTTTACACTGTACTGGGTTTTGATTGCTAAACTAAGCACTAACATCACAGTACTCTTCCTATAAATGCTCTGTCTCCACCTTCAGCAGCCAGTGAAGAGTTCTAATTCAGAAGGTGCCAGTAGCAGTTGGATTCTAAGTCTGTCTTGCCTTTCCTCTGAGTGTAGCAACAGATCCCCTGGTCACGCCTTGCTGTACCATTCTCTCCAGACCACGATGATCAGTTCATGCCTTGGCACTGTTAACTTGCTCCCAAAGACCACCTCCCGCTTGTCATGCCTCAGAATAATAGTATCAACATTTCTATGAAGACTATGTGGCAAGGACTGCCATTCTCACGTAGGACTTGCAGTCACAGCTGTTCCCAAAATTAGTTGCACAGCTGCAGGGTCCCTAGGAACTAACGATGCCTATACATTTAGTCCCTGTTTACCCTTGATGTGCTGAAGCATGAAAAAGGTTTTTTACTTACCGACTTTAGTCACTGTTCAATATATGGCTGATTAGTATAGAATCAGTTAACCCTTTTGCCCAGTATAGAATCAGTTAACCCTTTTGCCTAGTATAGAATCAGTTAACCCTTTTGCCTAGTATAGAATCAGTTAACCCTTTTGCCTAGTATAAAATCAGTTAACCCTTTAGCCTAGTATAGAATCAGTTAACCCTTTTGCCCAGTAAAGAATCAGTTAACCCTTTTGCCTAGTATAAAATCAGTTAACCCTTTTGCCATGCAAAAAAAAAACGGGGATACAGTTCTGAGAATACTGGAACAATGGCATTCTCAGTGTGACAGTTTCGTAAATCCTGGAACAATGGCGTGACAGGGTTAACAAAATTACACAAATTTTTTTTTTTTGGGGGGGGGGGGGGGGGGGGGGGGGTATTTTGTTTTATTCCTCTGCCTCTCTCTTCTCTAGGATTTCAACTTGTAAGAAGACTTAAATGTACAAATACTGCAACCTAGCTGTAAGCCATAACTCAACATACCAACTGCCTTTTTAGGGTGAATGAAGAATGACAAAAAACTTGACTCTCTGGATGCCATGCAACTCACCACACATTTATTATTTAGTGCACAGACAATATACTTTTCTGACTCTCTTCTATTGTAGACACTTGCTACATTAACTCATCATATACAAATTGTCAACTTAGCTCCTATTTTTGTCCGCTTGTGTTCATCAGCTGTAAACTGTAACGGAAAATCTTGTTTGTTCGTCTATTCCTGTACCCTGCTTTGTTCCAGGAAACTGAGTTTTGCATGTGCATCCTTTTTACAAATCTGTGAAGTCTTTTATTTCCTTGCTTAACAGGCAGATGCACTCCGACTTGAAGCAAGCTCCTTCATTTAAAAGTTGTATTATTTTAACTTCTTTGGACTCAAACACTGGCTGTTTTAAACTAGGAAGTCTCCAAATAGAAACAGTTATATTCTAGTCCTGAAAAGGGAGTCTTTGTGGTGTAGCAGCTCGCCTGAAGGTCATGAGTTTTGAGTCCAAATGGAGCAGTACCTTTTTTTAAAAAAAATGACCTTGGTTCCCAGGTTAACCAGCTTTATATGGGTACAAAGTAAAGTCCTTGGGAATAAAGGCAGCCGGCATGATACTGGCCGTATCATCCACCTAGTGCTGACTGGTCTATAAAATATAGGTCTAGCCCTATATGCCTTAAGGCAAGAAAAAGGTTCCTTTACGTCAATTTATTTTACTGGCTGTTTTCAACTAGAAAGTCTCAACACAGAAAAAGTTACAATAATGACTAGCTAATACTGAAAGAGTTAAATCCAAGCACAATTCAACACTTGAGAGTGAGTCGAGCCACCAACCTGAGGCTGAGAAAACATGTCCAGGCTCCAGGAGCAGACCTTCCCATCGGTGGACACACTGATCAGATTGTGGGCATTCTGGGTGCCGACCACATTGACACAGTAAACTGGGTGCTTTGTGAGAACAAAGTAAACAATAGATCACACAATAAACTGGATGATTTTTTAGAATAAAGTGAACAATCAATCACACAGTAAACTAGATAATTTGTTAGAATAAAGTAAACAATCAATCACATAATAAATTAGATAATTTATTAGAATAAAGTAAACAATCAATCACACAATTAACTAGATCATTTATTAGAACAAAGTAAACAATCAATCACACAATGAACTAGATAATTTGTTAGAATAAAGTAAACAATCAATCACATAGTAAACTAGATAATTTGTTAGAATAAAGTAAACAATCAATCACACAGTAAACTATGTAATTTGTTACAATGAAGTAAAAAATCAATCACAAAGTAAACTAGACAAATTTTTAAAATAAAGTAAACAATCACACAGTAAACTGGATAATTTTGTAGAATAAAGTAAACAATCAATCACACAGCAGACTGGATAATTTTGTAGAATTAAGTAAACAAATTGAACAACTTCTTCTTCTTCCACATACACTTTACAAGCGGCGGGTGGCTCACTGTTTGTGTCTATGTGGCTGTATGTATGTATCTGTATGTTTGTCTGCGTGAGTGTGTGTGTCTATGTGTGTGCTGTGTGTTTGGTCAGTATGTGAGTCTGTGTGTGTGTGTGTGTGTGTCTGTGTGTGCATGTGTTTGTCTCCATGAATGCCTGTATGTATGCCGGTATGTATGTATGTACGTATGTACATATGTATGTATGTATGCATGCATGCATGCATGTGTGTGCGAGTGTATGTGTATATGTGGGTGTGAGTATACACGCACTGATTTTTGCATGCATTTTACAACCCATGGTTTTGTGTTCTTTAGTGATATTCAGTAAAGGACCCTTTTCACAACAAACAGCAACAGAACTGTGTGTGTGATGAGTTCATTACAAGACTGACCACCTTTACTTTCCAGGACATTACCTGGTACCCATTTTAAGTTGGGTCAACCTGGGAGCCAATGTCTGTTTTGGAAATAATCTTACTTGATGCAGTTTCTTCTTCTTCTTCTTCTCCTTTGAGTTCACCAACTGTAAACTCCAGTGGAAAGTTCTTGTTGTTCATTACCTTCTGGACCCTTGTCCTGTTCCACACCTGTTTCAAATTTGTGACTCAACTGACTGCAAACTGTTGGTTCCTTGCCTCTCAAAGGAAGCTCCCAATTAGTCTACTCTAAGGACATGATTTTGGGTAGGCAGTGGGTCTATTTTTGTATTGCGATGTAGATTCAAACCCAAGACCTTCAGCCTTGCCTAGCCACAACGTTGCTGTGGTGTCCTCACTGTACTTTGCATAGTTTTATTGGGTAGCCAATGTGCTAAATGAATAAGTGATGTCCTCTTCTTCCTAGTTTTAACCGGCTGTAAACTCCAGCGGAAAGTTTGGTCCACTTCTGGATTTTACCTTTGTTCCAGGACTTGAGCTTTGCATGCATCATTCCTTTTATGGTTCTGGCTTATCTGTACTCCAACCCTGAAGGAAAAACAACTAATGAATCACCTTTTATAACATACTAGCAAAGGTGGCAGTTGGGTTATTCTTCTTTCCCTAAAATGGGGGCCTTGATACCCCTACTGGAAAATAAGTGATGTTAAAAACAGTGTTGACTTTAGTCAAATGGATACCCAGAAGTGACTTAACACAATTCCGGTTTCAGGTAACAGGGCAGTGGCTCGCCTGGAAGCAGATGGGCAACAACCAAGTCAGATTTGTTCCTGCCCCGCCAGGTGACGAGCCTAGCAAGCCGGCAGGGGTGTAAATGAATGCTACTACACAAGAAATATTGAATACATATAGGACAGAAAAAGACGAACAAATCCATCATAAGACAAATCAGAAAACTATGACACTGGGCTACAACCTGGTATCAGTGAGATAACAAAAGAAGAAAGAAGTCTATAGGTGTTTGTTGTGGTTTATTCTTGTTGTGTTTAATTTGCCCTTAAAAAGGTAATCAGCATGTTGTGTTGAGGTTACAGATAGGCTGCAATATCTGTGCCTTTCAACCTAAAACATTGTATTTTAGCAAGACCCTAATAAGTAACCTTTTTGCACATTCCTGTAGTTAATAACTGCTGATGTTTTTTCCGCTGATGAAGATTTTGGCAGAAACTTTTGGACGCGTTTGTACACATATTATTCTGTTCCTCCACTTAGCTTCCTGATCATAGTCTATTATGTGAGAGATTCTCTGGTGAAGGGGTTACGCATTGCCTCGTGCTCTTGAGTTGAGGGTTTGTTTCATGGACAGGGTCATTCGGTTAATGAGTATAATGGGGATGATCAATGGAGCTACAGAGTTCATACATTATGCAATGTTCTGAGTAGTAATTCTTTGGAGACCGTGACATATGGGATAGAAACAAGTGCAATGAAGTTAATCTCCCAACTCTAACATTTATTAAGTCTGCATTCTTTTTCTGTGCATTAACCGACTGTAAATTAATATGGAAATTTTGGCTGTTCGTCCACTTCTGGACTTTGGTCTTGTTCCAGAATCTGAGTTTTGTGCGCACTTCTGTTTGACAAATTTTGCTTATTTTTATGCAGAGAGATGCACAAACTTTGAAAGAAACTTCCCTAGTTACTTGCCATATATAACATGCTTTTTAGGGAGGCAGTGAGCCTATTCTTTTTATCCCACACAGAGACATCAAGCCTACCTGACAATGGAAGATGTACTCAGGGTCCATGTTCTTGAACTTCATATTCCAGATCAGGGCTACTCCATCTGGATCATTCGGCGCATCTTCATTGGCATTGTATGAGGCAAGCAGCAGCTCGGGGTACTTGAGAACAAAACAGGTATAGTTTCAGAATACAAGCAAAGCTGTACAGAATTATCATTTACATGCTAAAGATGTACAGTGTTTAAGGTGTTGGCCCATTTGTCCAACATTTTACACATTCTGCTAGTTTAGACTGTTAATTCCTTGCATCTCCAGTAGATGCGATCTGACTTTGAAAGAGTACCCTTATTAGTCTAATCTTACGATACACGTGTTAGGGAGACAGTAGGTCTATTCTTGTTTTCTCCACAATAGGGCCCCAGAACCCACTCAGGGATCTGCTAGTTTGTTTTTATACATCTGTAAATGAATCACACCCTCTCAGGTTATTCAATCTGAAGGCGTGTGTGAAGTTTTTTAACATGCAACTTTACCATAAACTTTGGACTGTCTTATTCTCGTTCTTTCTATTATCCCATAATGGAGCATATTATCTCAGTATATTCGCACCAAGCACTCCAATCCTTTTCAATTATTCACTTCACACACACAGGTGTCTATGACCCATGCTGGTGATTGTCCTACGTTTGGACCACCTCTCATCAAAGAAATGCTGCTGCAGCTTCAACTTCTCCCCTGCCAGACTGTCACTGTTGGAAGGAAACACATCAATGAATACATGAATAAAGGAATCTGGGCAGCAAGCGTTATTCCAAACTATATAAGGTTATTCTGAATGATATTATCCCCATGTAGGTTCCAGGGAACTATTTTGCAGAACCAAGGACACTCATTTCCCCCCACCCTCTGACAAGCAGGTCATAGGAGGCATGTCCAAGGTGTCTATCCAGTGCCCATCTTTATGCTGGTCAGCCTCTGTCCCTCTTTTCTGGCACCATGCCTTCTGCTATTATTGTTTCCAATTCGTCGTGGTTGTATTGCCAAAATATTTCAGTCTCCAAGACAAGATGCTGTTTACTAGCCAATCCCCCCGTGTGGGTTCCGGGGCTCCCGTGTGGGTTCCGGGGCCCCATTGTGGGGAAAACAAGAATAGACCCACTGCCTCCCCAAAAGCATGTCGTAAGAGTCGACTAACTGGGGACCTTCCTTTGAAGTCGGAGTGCATCTGCCTGAGAGGCAAGGAACCAGCAGTCTACATTCAATTGAATCAGATCTGTAAAACTGATGCACACGCAACACTCAGGTTCTGGAGCAGGACTGCAGTCCAGAAGTGGACGGACAACCAGAACTTTACGCCAGAGTGTACAGCTGGTGAACGCGAAGAAGAAGAAGAAGACTAGCCAATCTTGCTTGCTGTTCAGATCTTTTAGGATGCCAGCATTACTTTTCTTCTTATTAAAAAGCATGGGGTCCTTGGCAGCCCTTTGAAAATAAGAGGGGTTCGCATGTCTTACCTGTTTGGGAACCACTGGCCTATGGCAGAGACTGTAAAACAACACAGCAGACTTGGTCTGATCTGGTCTATCCAGCAGCTGTAGTACAGTGACTAGAATGTTTGCCTGCCAGCCTCAGTAACACATGTCTGAATCTCCTTAAGGTTAATTTGTTTTTTTCATTTCTTTTTCTTTTAAAATTAAAGTATGTTTCCATGTTCTTCTTCTTCTTCTTTTTTAAAAGTACTTTTGGCATACTGTATTGTGGTTTACAGCTAGGCTGCAATATCTGCATTTTTCTGCCCAACACATCTGCTTTTAGCAAACTCCTAATTAGCCAGCATATACATGTTTGTTATGGGGCAGTGAGTCAACCCCCCCCACCCCCTCCCCCATTCAAATGGGGCAACAGAACCCAGAACCCCCACAGGAATGCTTCCAGGGTGACTCCCAATTTAAAATGAGTACCAAGAAATGTTCAGGGAAGTAACTCTGACCCACTGTTCACTGACTGTCTAGCACCATATACTCAACAAGTCTCAAGGTGTGAAAAAAGCCCATTCTGTACTTAATATTAGGATTCAAACTTTAGACCACACTGCTGTCAGGTGACAACACTAACCACAACACCACCATTGATTCCCTCTCATAAAACAACACTTTATTATTCTACTGAAAAAATGTACACGGCTCAAAGGGAACTCACTCATCCTTGCCCTCACTGTCACCGCCACTATAATCAATGGTCAGCCCTGTATCGTTCAAAGCCAGCATCCGCTGCATGATCCGTGCAGCCCGGGAGACACTCAGCTGATAGTCCTCAGACATCATGATCTGCTTCTTCTCCTCCTCACTCAGTTCCCGAACTGTGAACAAAGTACATCTATTTATTTCCTAATTTGTAAGCACCTTATGCACTGAGAGAAGTGGAAATGCGCGTGTGTGTGTTTATAAACAGAATATTAACTACATCTTCTTTCTCCGCTCGCCGCGGATCGGAAGGTCGTGGGTTCGCTCCCTGGAGGAGCTGGACTATTTTCAAAAATGACCAAGGCTCCCAGGTCGACCCAGCCTTGAGTGGGTACCGGGTGCAGTCCAGGAAGTAAAGGCCGCCGGCTAGATGCTGACCACATCACCCATCTTGTGCTGATTGGTCTTTAAAAATATAGGTCTAGCCCTATATGCCTAAAGGCGTGGAAAAGGGTCCTTTACTTTTTTACTTTTACTTCTTTCTTCTAAGCGTTCACCGGTTCTAAACTCCAGTGGTGAGTTCTGGTTGTTTGTACACTTATGGACAATTAGTCTTGTTCCAGAACTTGAGTTTTGCCTGCACATAAGTTACACAGATCTGGCTTATATGTATGCAGACTGTTGGTTCCTTAACTCTCAGGCAGCTGCACTCCAACTTCAAAGGAAACACCCTCAGTAGGTCAACTCTTTTTTACCCCTGTAATGGTGCCCCAGAACCAAAATGGAAAAGGAAGGGGGGAGGGTGTTGATTCAAAACTAAGACCTTAGGACCAGCAGGCTAGCATCTAGCCAGTACACCACCACGGCTTTCACTGAAAAAAACACACACGTACACACAAATATATAGGATATGTTGATAGATGAGGTGGTATATGTCAATTAGCATGAGACTTTATATCAAGAAATAGCTCTTTATTTGTGGGTGTCTTTAAATGGATGTACTAGACTAGGCTTTTGGGGCACACACATGAAATTCATTCTATAGTTTTCAGAAACAATTAATGGAATGAAAATGTGTGTATTTATGTTTTTATAAATGTATTCATTTATCTGTATATGTGCATGTCTGACTGGGCATGAATAAATATAAAATATAGTCATAAACTAACACTCACACAAACGCACATGCACTCATGCATGCACACATTCACTGACAACATTTGTTAAAAAGCCACCCAATCTCATACTAAAACAAATACAATACACGCATAATTACACATACTGTTCATTCATTCATTTAATGTCCCACTGTGAAATTATATTTCTCCATTCATTTCTATCCTGCACAATCACTTTGATATCATGGATGATATCTAGTCCAGCACCTCTGGCTTCTCTCATCAACTTCCACCTTAAGGTTTCTCAGGGATGTCCTTGTGTCATCAATCCAAACTTGCTGATACATTCCAGTAGTGTCATTAAATCTTCACACAGATGTACACTATCACCACCAGAAATGATTCACACCAAATCAAGAAAATACTGTATCACTCAACTTCCACCAACTCACCTTGTGGTTTCTCCTCCACTTTTTTCTCCACCTCAGGCGGTGCCACCGGCTCCACATGTGGCATGTGGTGTCCATGACCATGGCTGATGTCAGCACTGACATCCAGGGAATCTGTGTCGTCATCTGTGTGACCAGCATTGTCATAAAACAAAACTGATATGTTAGACATTTCTTGGGCTGTCCGATTGTGCATGCTTTGTATATTTCTGTCAATACACACATTTGTGTCGGCTCTGTGGCTAAGTCGATGCGAACGCTTTGCTTCGTAATGCCGGGATGCCAGGTTCGATCCCAGCTGCAGACAATGCGACTTGACAGTGGTATCAAGAAAGCCGACCGTCCAGAAAGCAATGGCAAACTACTGGATGTAACTTGCTTAGAGACACCACACAACAGCCAGGGGCTTAGGGTTGGTTCTGCAACGTCCTGTAAAGGATACGCAACTAACTTTTAACACACATTTGTGCTGTTCCCTCCACAATGGAGGTTAACTGCATTGGATATGTACATACTCTACTACTTCTTATTCTTCCTCTGTCTTTTATACTCCAATGAAGTACGGGCCCTCAACCAACTCACGCCAGCGTGTCCTAATTTTCACATGTGGCTCACCCCATGACCTCCCCAACATCACTGCCTAACTCCCTTCTCCATGTATTCTTTGGTCTACCATTATTTCTATGTCCCTGTGAATTCTATGTAAATCCTTCTAGTTAAACTCAGGTTTTCTCCCTTTTACCAGAAACATCTTTCCTTTACCTCTTGTTTCATTGGAATTGTTTAAGTCTCTCCCAAAGCTTCAATATCAGTGATTCTATCATATTTTTTAAATTCCCTCTATTCTGCGCCAGCATCAGTTAATGAATGTTTGCAGTTGAATAGTAACTGGTTTAATTGTTTCCACTCCACACGGCAGTACTGATTTGACACAGGAATGAAACATTTTCAGTATTAGTTTTAATTTCCTTTGACTCCATACATTTCCTAGCACTATGAAAACTTTTCTTGCCTTCTGTATTCCTATTTTAATATCTCTATCAGTTCCCCCATCTTATCTACATTACACCAAAATCGGTGTATGGCTCCACATCCTGAAGTAAAATATCACCAAGAGAAACCAGACGACTGTCTGCTAGTCTATTCTTATTATCTTTGCCTTTCCCTGATGTATTTTTAGACCTAACTGTTGCTAACTCGCATCAAATATGTTTCATTTATCTTGCATCTGATTTTGTGAGAGGGACAGAAGAGAAATGTCATCACCGAGGTCCAGGTCCATCCACTGCTGTCTTTAGGAATAACATAGTGTTCTCTTGAACCTCTGTCAGAGAGACAGGAAAATTTTCTTTTTTCTACAAAGCCTGCCTACAGCAGAAAAATATCTGATATGTCAAGAGTTCTTCTTCTTCTTACCCACTGTGTAGTGTCTAGATGCTCGCCTGCGGATCGGAAGGCCGTGGGTGTGGGTACAGATAGAGCCAGACTTTTTTTTCAAAATTGATCGTAGCTCACAGGCAGACTCAGCCTTGAGTGGGTATCAGGTGAAGTCTTTGGAAGTAAAGGCAGCTGGCATTGACCACTTCCCCCACAGTGTGTCGATTGGTCTATAAAATATAGGTCTAGCCCTATATGCCCAATAGGCCTGAAGGCTTGGAAAAGGGTCCTTCAATTCTTACTTTTACTAATGTCCAGGGAAGTAAAACTGACCGGAGAGATTTAACAACATCCATTATCGACAGCCGATTGTTCTGTTAAAATGTAAGTCTAGCAAAATATGCCTGATGTGTAAAAGACGTGAAAAATATCCTTTACATTTTGTTTTTATATTGGAACAAACTAACAGTAAACGTCCACAAGACCCCATCAGCAGACTCAACAGAAAGCAACATGCAACAACTTTCCGTCTACGAACAGGACACAGCAGGCTCAACTACCACATGTATAAAATAAAGATTGTACAGTCCCCACAGTGTGCCTGCCAAACAGGACCACAAACACCTGAGCACATTCTGCAGACCTGCCCACTCTACATACAACTTCGAAAAGACACCTGGTCTAAAGAGCAAAGTATGCAGAGCAAGCTATGGGGAACCATGAAGGACCTGCTACTGACAAGGGAGTTCATAGAGGCAACCCACCTGATGGTCTGATCTGAGCATACGAAACCAAACACAAAGAAGAAGAAGAAGAAGTTTATACATTGCACGTGTGCAAACTGATGACCAACGTGTTGCAGGCACTGCTTACATTGTATATCATATCATTCTGAAAACAGTTGCTAGCAGTGTCTGTACTGATGAGATGCAGTGGCCGATTGGTTAGAGTACTGGGATCTCATGAGGTTTGATCCTCAGTGAAAAATGAACATTTTTATCAGTCAGGGCAAAAATAAAAATCCTAATCAACAGTCCAAGGCCACTGCACTAGCCATGTGGGTTTAAATTCTCAGGTTAAGGATAATTTCCCCCCCCCCCCCATCAACTGCACTAAATGTGGGCAGTAGAGGCAGTCTGTACTGCTAACAAAATGTATAGACAGAATTGCCGACATCATGAAAACAACAAAGGAGGTGGTTTGGACACCTAACAAGAATGCCCTGGCACTATCTGCCACAGCGAGCCACACTAAAACATTACAACGGGTATCGAGCGAGTGGAAGACCTTGGAAAAGATGGAGTGATGGTATAAGAACAGCCCTACATAAATGAACATCAGTCTTTAACAGTGCTCTTGACAGAGCTCATCAATGAATGTTACATCTCCCCCCGACACTTCGATGAGGTACAAGGCAGAAGAGAAGAAGAAGAATGAATCATTTCAGTAGGGTTTCTCCCCATGTGGGTTCAGGAGTCCATTTTGGTGGGGAAAATATTAGCCCCATTGCTGCCCTAACAAGAGTGTAGCAAAAGTGACTAATTAGGGATTTTTCCTCCAACATCAGAGCCCATCTGCCTGAGTGATGAGGAACCAACAGTCTGCATACAAGTAAGCCAGATCTGTAAAAAATAGGTGTGCAAACAAAATTAAATTACTGGAACAAGGACTAAAGTCCAGAAGTGGACGATCAACCAGAAGTTTCCACCAACATTTACAGCTGGTTAACCCATTAAAGAAGAATAGGGAGCCCAGTCAACTACTGTTTTCAATGCTGAAGATTATTTTGGAGGGTGGGGGGGGTAATTTTAGTAATCATACACAAGTCTCAGCAAACTTGTTGCTACAGCAAGGTGCTGTCATCATTTAGAAGTGACAGGTTTGTTTTCTGGCATGGTAACTAAAGCTGTCGATTTGCATGTTGCCTGGTGTGACCCCTGGTCTCTATTTCTGTCTGAACTGATCACTATGTCTATTTGCTTATCATACATTTTAGGGGAACTCCAAAAAATATCTGTGAAATAATAATATGTAATGTATAAACAAATACTTTTGAAGTTATTTACATTGTTAAAGGGGATTGCTTATCCTCCCTTGCAAAATTACTGGGTAGTGGCACAACTATTGGGTGGGGAGGGGGATAGGGGGTGTCAAGCGCCATGGGCCCTGAAGGTTTCTGCACCCCTGGTAGGGCACAAAAATGCAGTGCCTGGTTAGATGAAAACTGCATATGTAGAAATATAACTTTACAAGAACCGATTTAATAATGGTGTCCTTCTAACACTGGTGCTTATTATGTTTGTGATTTTATGTTATTGATAGCATACTCACTACTGCATGTTGTCATGTTTAATTGGAAACAACTATCTATCACAAAATGTAACAATATAAAGGTATTAATATATATAATAATATATATATATATATATATGTGCATTTGTTTATATAACCAAAAAAATGGTGTGTCTCCAAAGTAGAGAGACGTGCCTTTGTGTGTTGTAAGACCACAAGGGTCCCATCCGTCCTTGTCAAGGGGAGTGCTAACCTTCTCTCCTTTTTTACAACACGATATCTAGTCATACATGTTTCTTTATATCTCGCCAACGAACTTTACAATTAGAACACTGCTAGAGAAAATTAGCATGCGAGTAAACTGCGGTTAGCATACTAATAAAACTATGAGATCAGCACAACATTGCATACCTTTTTAACATGTAGGTAGGTTACAATAACAATCCTTCGCATCTAAATTTAATTAAAACAAGGTAATTCTTGAATTATTTACTTTTTTGTAAAAAATACAAATCACATTTATTATTATCTCCCTTCGGATCCGTATATTTGAGTTCATTATGCCCCTTGAAGTGTATTAGCCTACTGCCACAGTTTCTACCGTTGGCGCGTGAGGTCTCACTTCTTATATATTTTATACCACGATATGAGGTTAGTTGATCGACTCCCTTCCTCGTCATATTTCTTCCTAGAAGATTATGAAAATTACCCGGTACAAATTTGTGTTTTTGTTTTGTTGTTAAACCCTAGAATCGCTGTGATGGTTTTTGGGTGGATTTGAACTCGGAACAACTGTTTCGGTGGGAAATCGCTCTACCCACTTAGTCGCCGCAACACAACCTGCGTTGACACGAACTACATGTAAAACAGCAACTGCTATTTGAAAATGTATAACCGAAGAGAACCAATAAATGTTTTTTTTTTTTTTTTTTTTTTTTAAACAGACAGGTGGTCTATACACGATTAGGGGAAATCACAAAGCGCTTTAGAAGGCTGCGTGGTCTCAGGTATGGCGTCTGCCTCGAGTGTTAGAGGTCCCAGGTTCAAGCCTCGGTGAAGGTCTCTGAAAATCGAAAACAGTAGCATAACGGCGCTGCCCGGGAAAAATTTGGAGTTAAAAATCTACCCAAAATATTTCAGGATCCTCGCCAATGCTACGGAGCCCGTGCACTGCTCTAGTTCGGACTCTGACTTGAGTTAGAAGAAGAACGGAACACTTATGGGTTACTACCCGTGCACCATGATGTGGATCCGTTGTTCAAACCTCAAACATAGCACCTTGACTAGTTGACTACCAGGCAAAGATAGCCTAGCCATTCACTCAATCGAGAAGTCATTGAGTTTAATTAGTCAAGAAAACGAGATATATATGTGTATATATATATGCGTGTGTGTGCGCGCGCGCGTTCACGGGTATTTAGAGAGAAAAGGGGGATGGGTGGTTAATAATGTTAATTCAAAATGAACACGTCATATGATATAATTAACGTGCAATAAACCGTGCGCGCACATGTATAATAGGGGCGGTGTGCTATTATATAGGTTACAATAGATACACAGACACAAAATTAAGCGCGGAGTTAATTATAAGTACGTTGCAGACATGCACATGCGGGCAATGTAAAACACACAATTACGCGGAAAATGACTCAATAAATCAGGTGCCGTCTCCACACTGATGGCTGCCTGCAACAAAATCTCCAGCTTTGTGTCCCTCGTCCTGGTGGCACATTCGTTTATCCCTTGACGTTGTCTTTCCAACCGTTGCCTACATTTTGCTCGCTCGCCTTACAAATTTATCCTGGTTATTTCGGAGGTAAAAGTAATCCAATATAAGATCCCGCTGTTGGCATAGGCGCCGGGAACTGGGCGCTTCTTCCCTAATTTTATAAAGCTATTATTATTATGCTTTTAAACTAGAACTGTGCTTCTGTAGCGCCCCCGTCCTTTGTCTAGAAAATGTGACGGGTATGTGGTTAAACCCCCCCCCCCCCGTGTTTTCTTTGTTTGGGCGCCCCTGGCCATTGAGATAAGTGTTTAGCTTTCACATAAAGGTAAAGGTAAAAGGTCAAGTCAGGAGATGTGAACCAGCGTCATTGCACACGGTTATAAACCATAAGTGCTATGCCACCAGTATGAACAGCTGATAAGAATTGCCTGGCTGTGTCGCCGTTCGCACGTAACTCTGTAGCTACAGCGACGTTCCTCCATTTACCCCAGAGTGTCAACTCTAGTACCCATTTCCTAGAGGCTGGGTGAACCACAGGAGCCGCCAGGTTTCGAACACCGACCGTGGGCTACAGCGAGTCGCGGCTGGATTTGAAAGCGAGCCTCTTATCGACTGCGCTAACGCGGCCCCGTGCTTTTACATATTCTCGGTCACGATGTTTTAGACTAGGGTGGCCGGTCCCCTTCTTCAGGCGCTGGAACATGGGAGCTCAGGTCCCCTGAGGCCCCTCCCCCCATTACCCACCTGGTGCCGATTGGTATGTAAAAATAAGGGTGCTCTTTCTATATGCCCGATGCTCCTAAAAGCATTAAAAGGGATCTTTACTTTAATTATGTAATGATGTGTTTCTTCTTCTTCTGGTACTTCACTTCAACCATTTACCTCAGCGAGAAGCTGAGGGGGAGCTATAAGGATCGTTTGTGTGCTTTTTCCAATGCCTCCAAAGTTTTCCTTGGGCATCACTGTGCTAAATGGTAAAACTTGTTGGGTTTTGTATGCCCACCATGTGGGCTGCCTTTATAAACTCGTATGTCAGCTGCAAGTCCTTTGTGGTACCACACGAATGGTTAGTAAATACAATAATTTGCCTGAAATCATATGAGATAATGTATTTAAAAAAAACCTATCTATTCAGAATAAAAACTAATAATAATAACAATTATTATTGCACAATTAAACGAGACTTAAACCCCTAGAACACACTCCACCCAGAAAATTATAAGGGGTTTGGACCCCCCCCCCCCCCACCCCCCGCCGGCCATGTTTTATTCACGGAGATGCACCTTTTGCTACTGTTACTACCATCTACACTCATTTTTACTACTCCTATTACTGTTTAGTTAACACGTAATTGTCATCAATGTTGCCTGTTTCACGGAAAGAACAACCATTTCATGAGATGACAGAATCACACATACAGGTTTCAGCACAACACCCATGCAACCGCTAGCCAGGATCATACAGCACAACCATGTCAAATACAAAAGTATAACTAGGCAACATAGACGCCATCAGGAGTTCATGACTGTTTGCTCAGCACAGGTCCTGAAACAATTCACAACCCTTGTGTATATCTGTGAATAATACATTAGAGTTTGTATTTCTTCTTCACACCCACCAGCTATAAACACTGGCGGAAAGTTCTGGTTGTTCGTCCACTTCTGAACTTTAGTCTGGTTTTTAAGATTTTGAGTTTGGTTTGAAGAACGGATCAACATCATAGCACAGGGGTAGTAACCTATAAGTGCTCCTTTCCACTTCTAACTCAAGCCCAATTCCGAAGAATCTCAGCGCAGTGCATCAACTCTGTAGCACCAGCAAGGATCCTAAAATACTTTACGTAGATTATTAACTCCAAGTTTTGCCCGGGCAGCGCTGTTATGCTACTATTTTAGATTTGCAACTGCCAAGGGATTTTTTTTTTACATGTACAACAATACACACGAGTATCCAATCTTACCACCCAGAGAACAAGGGAAATTACTAGAAGTCCAGGTGAAAAAATCCCAGCTTTCACTGGGGCCTGAACCTGGGACCTCCAGCACTCGAGGCAGACGCCATGCCTCGAGACCACTCAGCCCCAGAATTTGAGTTTTGTGTGCACAACTGCTTACCTCTCTGGCAAATGCACTCCACTTCAAAAGAAACGCTCCGAATTACTTGCCCTTTATAACGCACTTATTAGGGGGGTGCAGTGAGTCTAACCCCTTTAAAAAAAAAAAGGAAAAAGAATGCAGTCTCAGAACAATTACTGGGAGAAATTTGCATTCAAAGGTGTCACATGATTCCAGCTAAACGTATCAGTTCTGACGTTACAGTCTTCTGACACTACAGTTTAGGAGAAGCCAGACGCCTAATCACTTACAACACTGTTTAGGAGAAGCCAGAATTGTAACCATACACCATCTAACCTAGAAGAGGCCACAACTGTGCCCACTTATAAGCTAGTCTCAGAGAAGACAGAATTATAACCACTTATAAGTCAATCTAGGAGAAGCCAGAATTATAACCACTCATAAGCCAACCTAGGAGAAGCCATAATTATAACCACTTACAAACTAGTCTACCAGACATGTAATTATAGATGACACTGTCCAGAAAAAGCCAAAATTGTAGTTATGTTGTCAGGGTTTGAAAGCCAATAAACAATTCATTTCTTTCAAATCAAAAATATTTCAGTATAAACTGGCACACATATGTGTCATAAACCAATAAATACACAAACATACACACAGAATCACAACTTGTACGACAGCAAGCATGTCTAAAATCATTAAAAAAACTTATGCCAGAAGCAAAGATGAATTGCTGTGTGACAATAAAGTATTAAAAAGTTACATTACACTGAGGCAATTCACTAACAACCAATAAGATGTACAAATGCTACATAAATGAACTACATAATGACCAAGTTTATATTTTAAAATATATACGCAGGCAAACTTTAAATACAGCACAGACCACTTAAGGCAATCTCAGATGTAGCGAATTTGTTCTGAGGAACAATTTGTTTATCCCTAGCAATTTTGCTTGCTTGAACTATTATCTGAATAAGAGGAACAATCCCATTTATGAAGTTATAGGGTCTCCTGTCTTGGCCTCAAAGACGACATAGACGTGCTTCACTCCCAGATTACAGAATCGTGTTGGCGTCAGAGATACATCATTGGTACATCTAAACTTTGCATCGATGTGAGAGCAAAATCAGCATTTTTATGTCTGAGATCTTCAGCTAATGCTGCTTCTCATACAGCATTAATTATGTCCATTCTGTCCAGAGAAGGTACATTTCCTAGAGTGGCATTTCCCACAAGGTCACCAGCCCTTTCATTGCCTTTCACACTGGCACATCGTGGGACGAAAATAAAGATAATAGAAAAAATCATTCATCAATCAACAGGTCGTTTACAGAATGTCGCTCTCGTCACGGCACGCCTGAAAGTCTCTCTGTCTCTAGCCAATTCTCCAGCCCAGTGTGCTTTCATGGCCAGTGCATCTTCAATGTCGTGTCTTCACTTTTGCACAAGTCTGCCTGTCTCTTTTGTGGAAGCTGTACCATCTATAACTGGTTTCTCCAGGCCACCACCATGTTTAACATGGCCAGCATACTTCAGCTTTCAGGACAGGATGCTGTTTATGAGCCACTTCTCCTCCATGCTCAGATTATCTAGGATATCAGCGTGCAAAGCATTGCTTTTTACAATAATTGATACTATTCTATTCACACGTATCCATCACTGATCACCTTAACTCTTTGAGTCCCAAGGAACGCATCATATGCTCATAGGTTCCTACCTAGAAGCCCAATGAACTCATGATGCGCTGATTTCATGACTCTCTTTACTACCCTCTGGGCCTGTGATGCCAAACCCCCTGGGACTCAAAGAGTTAAACATACATGCATATATGAATACATGCTTCATATATTCTAGGCCTTGGTGCAAACAGAGTGGTTGCAAGCCTTTAGACACTTGTTTATGATTAGTTATGCAGCTACATCTTCAAATGGGGATAAGAAAAACCAGCCTTAAATGACTTGCTTTGGTCTTATTTAGGTTTTTTACAGACTTTGGCAAAACATGACTGGTAAGTTAGCATACATTCATTAAAAAGAAAACAACTCAGTATGAAAATGGGCTGCTCATCTAGACATGAATGAAAACATCAACATACAACAGCAGCAAGGGTGAATACTGCAGTCATCCACTATACCTTCGTCCATATCATCAAAAAACTCATCCTCCCATTGCAATTTTGGGTGCACAAATTTTGCAGACCCAAAGCCTATAGGAAATTTGGCAGCAGGAATATAATAAATAAAAAAGGAGAGAGGAAGAAAGAGATTGAATATGACAATCAAAAAAAAAAAAAGATTATTTTTTTTCATCATATGGTATGCTCCTATGAAACAAATGAGGTGTTCATAACCAATGTGAAAATTAGAGTTTCTACAATGTGACAATGCTGAGAAACACTGAGTACACATCTGACAGCTGAGACTGTTGCCATTATTTTTTAAACAATTGATCAACTAACATTAACAACATCATATTGATGATGTTGTTAAGGAGGCAGTAAAAAGACGCCTTTCCAAGCCTTCAGACGTACTAGGCATATAGGGCTAAACCTATATTTTACAGACCAACTAGCACTCTGTGGGTGATGTGGTCAACATTACACCAGCCACCTTTACTTCCCGGGGCTGTACTTGGTATCCATCTAAGGCTGGGTCGACCTGGGAACCAAGGACCCAGGAACCTTCTGATCCGCAGGCGAGCGTCTAGCCGCTACACCACGGAAGTCCTTTTAAGGAGATAGTGAGTGGGTCTATTTTTATTTTTCCCAAATGGGGCCCCAGAACCCACATGTGGATGTAATATGTCAATGATAACTAACTAGAACTCTTATTTCAGGAAACCACGATCGGATCCTATTATGTAATTCTTTCTTCTCAAATACAAAATCCAGCATCAGGTGTATAAATTTTACAGTCAGTCTACCAAAAAGGCGATGGCAGTACCATGGTGGATAGTCATGTTCTCACTTGCTGACTGATGAAAGCAGTCAAGCTATCACTTGCTGACTGATGTAAGAAGTCAAGTTATCACTTGCTGACTGATGTAAGCAGTCATGTTATCACTTGCTGACTGATGTAAGCAGTCATGTTATCACTTGCTGACTGATGTAAGCAGTTATGTTATCACTTGCTGACTGATGTAAGCAGTCATGTTATCACTTGCTGACTGATGTAAGCAGTCATGTTATCACTTGCTGACTGATGTAAGCAGTCATGTTATTACTTGCTGACTGATGTAAGCAGTCATGTTATCACTTGCTGACTGATGTAAGCAGTCACGTTATCACTTGCTGACTGATGTAAGCAGTTACATTATCGCGTAATGACAGATGCAAGCAGTCATGTTATTACTAACTCTGATGTAATCAGTCTTTAAAAGTTATACTTTATGAAAGTAATTATTTAGTAATATATTTAAATAAAATTACAACTTTTTTATAATTACTGTGACACAATAACACTTTTTTATGGCAATACTTCCGTACAGTCCTAATACTGCTGTACAGTCACACTAGTTTAATACAGTCCTGATATGACAATACAGTCATTCTATATTCTCACACGGCCATGACACTTTAATACAGTCATATTTTAATGCATTAAATATATTTTTAACTACTTGATACTGCATTAAACCAACTTGTTAACTTTAATACAGTCATGATATTTTAATATATTATTTATACTTATAACATGTCGTCAATACAGCATTAAAACAATCATTTATCTTTAATACAGTCAGATACTTTAAAACAACCATTTTACTGTAACAGAAACTTAACATGGCAACAACTGCCAAAAAAGTTGTAAAAGAAAACAATGGATAACCAAGAAGAATCCGTGCGACATTTCAAAAACTTGATGACAAAGGACAGAATAACAGTTGCAGCTAAATAATATGGCCAGCCAATGATGCAAACAGCCGTGCGACATTTCAAAAACTTGATGACAAAGGACAGAATAACAGTTGCAGCTAAATAATATGGCCAGCCAACGATGCAAACAGACGCATGCGACATCAACAACATGCTCACTCAGTGCCTCCCATAGCATTTGCTTTTGTATATATAAGTGTTTTACAACTAATCCCAAGAAGATCAACTGAAGCAACACATTAGAAAGAAAACACAAAATATCCTTACATCCCCCCCCCCCCCCCACCCCACCACTTCAGTGAGTTAAATGGAGGAAAAGATGAGAAGAGGAAAAAGAAGATAAAAGCAAATCATACCTGTGTGGATTCCTGGGCACCCTTCTGGGGGGGGGGGGGGGGTTAGGAACAGACCCACAGTCTCACAGACAAGCACGTCGTGGGAGGCAACTAATGAGGGTTTTTCCCTCCGAAGTTAGAGTGCATCTCCCTGAGAGGCGAGAAACCAACAGTCTGCATTCAAACAAGCCAGATCTATCAAATGGATATGCATGCAAGACTGAAGTTCTGAAACAAGACTGAAAGTTCAGAAGTGTACAAACTAGAACTTTTCATTGGACTTTGCAGCCAGTGAATTAGATACATTATATTCAATCTTCTAAAAAGTGCATTGTCTATTCTTTGATACTTTATTTCATAACAGCAGGAAAAACTAGATGTTATCAAGGCCCTTTGGGAGTGAGTGAACAGTGAGGAGGCACATAGAGACCTTCATATTCTGAAAGAATGGTACAGCGAGAAGTGACCATGAGATCTAACCGATGCTCCACAATCAGGGACAAGGCAAAACAGAAACTCAATCATACTGTTACTGCTTCCACTGAAGTTGGAACCTTGTGCTAGCTACTAAAGATGGGGACGGAATACTTATATGAATGACCTGAGTGCTATGATTTTGATTCTTAACTCATCTCGACTCTAGCCTTCAAATTTTTTTCTCAGCTGATGACTTAATCTTCTTCTTCTTCTGCATTCAGTCGAAGATGTAACTGCATTGTGCTTGTTTACAGCATGGCTGCGATATCCGTGCCTTTCAGTCGACACATCTGGCTTCTGCAGGCATTTGTTAACCGGGTTACCCTTCCCAGTTTGTTTTGTGGGACACTGCAGTCTCGTTGTGTGGTCATCTATGTTTCCTAAGTAACCGTCTGATTGTATATCCATCTCATCCTTTCCCTGAGTGTTAAGCATCAGCCAGATCCCCTGGTAACTCCTTGCAGCGCCATTCTCCTTAGACCGTAATGATCTATCCGCACCTCCTCATTGTTTACTCGCTCCCAAAGGGCCCTCACAATATCTAACTTGTGCAGAGCCAATACATGGTGCTCTGGTACTGGGCTCACCCAAGGAATCATCATGTCCTTCTCACAACTGTTTAACCTCACTTCCATATATTGAACATCTCAATCATTAGGGGCTATAGCACCCCCATGTGGGTTCTGTGGCCCTATTGTAGGGAAAACAAGAATAGACCCACTGCCTCCCCAAAAGCATGTCGTAAGAGTCGACTAACTGGGGAGCTTCTTTTGAAGTCGGAGTGCATCTGCCTGAGAGGCAAGGAACCAGCAGTCTGCATTCAATTGAATCAGAACTGTAAAACTGATGCACACGCAACACTCAGGTTCTGGAGCAGGACTGCAGTCCAGAAGTGGACAAACAACCAGAACTTTACGCCAGAGTGTACAGCTAGTGAACGCAAAGAAGAAGAAGAAGAAGATCAGAGGTTATGTCTTTAAAAGTAAGTGGGAGGCAGCCTACAAACCTGGGATTTCGATTACCTATACAAAATGAATACTCTGCTTCTTTTGCATTGATTGGTCTTATTTATTAGGTTTGATCACAGCATACATTTTATGTATCGGAATTATCTGTTCACCCTGGTTTGATTTTCGCTGTTAGATTCTCATGCCAATAACAGCCTAGAGGTTTTGTTCAGCTGAAATATTTCACTGCAATATTGTGCTGCTTACTATGATTCCAATCTGTATCTTCATTTCAATTATTATTCTTAATGTTACCGAGAAGGTCAGATCTTGAAAATTTTGTTTATTCTTTTAAAGACAAAAACAATTAAGTCTGAGAGAAAATATTATGGCAGAAATAAAATGTGCAGTAGAAATGTTAAGTTTAATTTGTAAGAACTTGCAAAAATTAATTGTTAAACAAAAAAAAATTACCAATAGTGCCCATTTGGTTAACCGAATTCAAAACAGTACTGAAGGCATTTAAAAGTGCTGAACCATACAATTCTTCTTTACAAAAGTGAATAGAACAGTGCAAAAGTAAAGTTAGCCCGCAATGATCATTTAATGTCTTTTTATTTAACTTACCGTAATAGTCCAACATTCCAAAGTCTTGCAGGAAATGAAATATTATTTAGACAGATAACTTCACATTTACAGAAAAGACATTAGCCACAGAGGGATAAGAAATAAGTGGAGTGCAATAAGAAGAAACACCACAGGGGAGCATGAACAGCAGGGGTCTACCAATCATCAGTAGAAGTAAACTCTCGTCGACAAATGTTTCGGCCCACGAGCTCCTATACATTTTCAGAGAGTGGGCCCACCTGAGTTCATGAAGCTCAGGGTTGGTTTCCCCTGCTGCACGAAATTACCGGATGTTATTTGGATAGGGACGAGACAAATTAGTAATTTGCACAAGGTACTGTGAGATAAGAAGTCATCGAGGTAGCATAATTAGAGCAGTCTGCATACCTGAACGACCGAGCGGCAAGCTTACGATTGGTATACCGGACACATGTTGAACTTTGTTAGCAGGTGGCAGAGGGACACTGGCAGACAATTCGGACACGATGGACTTTCAAAGGATGATAAATTTCTTTCCGCTAGACACTTGGACCAGCTCACCGAGGCCCGTCCCCTACGTTGTTTCGTTGTGTCCAGAGCCAGCTCGGGGCCCTCTCAGCAACCTCGCCCAGGTGTTAAAGTGTCCGTTCATTACCACGTAAGCCTAGTTCTTTAATCACACTGTAGAGTGAAGTGGACACGAGACCTCTTGCGCCCACTTTGACGGCGAAGACTCTTATTGTGTACGCTTCATCCCTCCTCAGACTGGCTGCTAAGTCACAGTACTTCTCAAGCTTGTACATATAGCTTTCATCCATTCGCGACTCATACGGGACGGTCAGCTCAATCAGGATGAGCTGCCGTTTCTCCGCAGAGTGGAGAACTAAGTCAGGTCACAAGCCAGTCTTTCGGATTGACTCAGGGTACCTTTCATGGCCAGGCAGGTCAACCTCCAGTAACCAGTCCCTCGCAGAATCTAGCATAGATGGAGCGTATGCATCTTTGTTGATTCTACTTTTTTGAATCTGCCCAGCTTTGAGGAAGCGTATGGGAACGATGGTAGGACTGGCCCTGGCATTGACCCTCGTCCTAGCCTGGTCCACAATAGCCGCTAGCTCTTTTAGCACCTTGTTGTGGCACCAGGTATATCTGCCTTGACCTATGGTTTTTCTGCATGCGGACAGTACGTGTTCTAACATTTGTTTCGCTCTGCACAGCGGGCATGTCGGGTCGTTAGTCGCAGACCACTTCACCATGTTGACACCTGATGGTAATACATTGTACGCAGAACAAACGATAAAGCTCAGTTGCAGCGGGGTCATTCGCCAGATCTCACCCCATGTGAGTACTCTTGGCAATGTGCTCTCCAGGCTGACCCAATGGCCCTGTTGCGACTGTTGGGCTGCTTTCTGGACCCGAACCTCGTTTTCGTTGTCCCTTACTTGCTGTATCACCATGTCTCTGCGTTCCCCAATTTGAAGGCCCTGTCCATAGCCGGCCGCCCCGTCTAACATGATCTGCATGGCCATGACGAACAGTATTGGTGAGATCGTACACCCCATAGCTATCCCAACTTGTAGCTCAGTCCATTTTGTGGTAAACGTCGAGGTAGAGAACATATATCAACAGTAAAGATTGTCCCAGAAAGGATACTTTCACTGCCTGTGAGAGTAAGTGAACCTTTTGCATTGATCATCATCATCATGTAGCAGGTCCTTTGCAGAACGTCACTCTCATCACAGTCTGCCTGAAAGAAACTCGGTCTTTCGCCAGTTCTCCTGCCTCATATACTTTCATACTCAAGGAGTCACATATATCCTGTGCCCATCTTCGTGTCGGTCGGCCCCTGCCCCTCCTTCCTGGTACCATGCCTTCTGCTATAGTTTCTTCCGATTCGTTGTGGCGCTTGATTTACATAATATATATATTTCAGCTTCCGAGAAAGGATGCTGTTTATTAGCCAATTTTTCTTGATGTTCAGATCTTATAAGATGTCAATATTTATCCTCTTCTTTGTCCAAGATATTCTAAGAATCTTTGCATTGATACCACTAAAAAATCACGGTATGAAAAATTTGTGGAAAATCCCGAAAAAATACTTTTTTTTTTAAAAACTTATTTTAAACAGATCACTAATACATGTGTTTTTTTTTTTTATTTATGCATATTTTTCTGAAATATATAAAGATATAAAATAGGAGTAATAAAAAGGGCCTAAAAAGTGTATTGACCCCATGACCTTGAACAAACATAAGCACTGACATTAAAGTGCGCTTCTTGGAAACAAATCACTACAGACAAGTCGGTTCCTATCCTTTACAGGAATGTGGCGACGATGGAAATGCCAGGTTCAGGGCTTCTCGGAGCAACAGGGGTAAAGTAATAGCTGGTTGAGACAGGCTACAATTCAAGAGGCTGACCAAGAAAGAGATGAGAGGGGGGAGTAAAAGAGACACAACAGAAATGCTGTATGATATTAACACAGGCTATGCAACTTGCAAAAGATAGGACCTACATCTAGCTCCTCTCAGTCATACTTTATGGCACAAGCAGTAGGACAAAAGAAGAAAGACAGGAGATGAAGAAGTTATCAAGGTGAACTGCACCCTTACAGCGTTACTCTGCTAACAAAAAAAGCATACAAGAAACTGTATCTGGAACCTATGCAACCAACATACTACCAAAACAGTCGTCTAACTACAGTGAAATGTGCTGGGAGGGTCTGAGAACTTATGGGATTATCTACAATCAGTGCTGAAAACCAAATTCTACTGCATAATAATGAAATATACTAACAAAACCGAAAGCACAAAACATGCAAAGTCAACATTTCAACTGTAAAATAAAACACATCCTAAAAGATCATCACACCAAAATTTTCACAAAATCTCTTGCAAAAGCACAGGGTCTCATTTTTCAAGAAAATATAAAAACAAAGAAGCTCTTAACACCAAGGATGCATGGGTCATATTATGCTAGACACACAACTGGCACTCATTGACTGATATCATCAACATCATGCTGGCCACCTTTACTCTCCAGCACATTAGCTGGCACTGTTTTCAGTTAGGTCAACCAGGTCAGTTTGAGATATAATGTGACTCAATGCAGAGTCGAACCCAAGACCTTCTGTGCAAGCAAGACTTAAGTTCTGGAACAAGACTAAAGTCCAGATGTGGGTGAACAACTAGAATCTTCTGTTAGAGTTTACAGCCAATGATTGCAAAGAATAAAACAGAAGATTACAAACAAACATGCATTGCAACAGTATGATTTCAGCATATAACTGTAGTGTATTCTGTGAGTGCATACTAAGCAAAAACAAAACCTTACTGTCTGACTGTATGTCTGCCTCCTCCCCCCTCCAACTGCTACTACAACCGTCTCTGCGACTCACTTCATAGATGGCTAACCACTGTGGCAACAACCAGGATACCCCGCTTAACCTCCTAAGAAACTACAATTGGGGCACCCATAATCATTATACCAAGTTGTATATCCCGCAGTCTTTTTCAGGTAATAACAATCTCATGTCAGTCTTTCGGTCAAAAACAAAAACAGCTCTCCACATGAGTTCCTAAAAAATAAAAGAGCCACTAACTAACAAGCATGTCATACAAGGCAATCAATTAGGAGTTTGCTGAAATCAAATGTTGGCTGAAAGGCGTAGACATCACAGCCTAGCTATAAATGACTACACAATGTGCCAATCATCCTTTTATGTGTGAAAAACGAAAAAGAAGAAGAAGACAAATACGAGAAGTTGGGGGAAAAAGTGACAAGGTGGGGTAATTGAGCTTACCTAGGAAACAACATTCTCACAATCATGCATGTAACGGCACGCGTTGAGTTAGAAACTAAATCACATCTGATGCCAGGTTATTGATACTAAATGTCACATACTCTCTTCAATCAAGACAATAGGGACTGAATACATTACTCACTTCCATGAGAGTTAGCTCGCTTTCTCTTGCCTATTATAGCAAACCATAAGTTCAGACAAATTTTACATGCATACACCACAGTAATATTCAATAGTTAAATCAACCCAAAATCCATATGAGCCAAAGGATACCATGAAATGATCCTCATGCATTACAGAATTTCACAGGGAAAAAATCTATTTGGCAGTGTCCATCTTCTCTTTAAGTACATTTTAAATAATTGCCTGTGTGGGTTCTGGGGTCTCAGTGGGGGGTGGGACAGACCCACTGCCTCCATAACAAGCATGTTGTAAGAGTCAAATTAGGTTTTTTTTTCTTTTTAAGTCAGAATGTAAGTTGTACCCCACCAGTACATCACACAAGCGATAAACACCCAGTGACACAAAGTGCCACCATGCGGATGAGGATCATCAGTGTAAAGGTCCCGGAAACCCCGTTCAGCCGTTAGGCCATATTTCAGGCCCCGCTATATTTACTGCCCCCGGCAAAAGCCAGGGTGGGGCTTTGAAATAACTAAAAATTGCTTCCCACAAGGGGATGAGGAGATTGCATAAGTCAGAGTGTATCTGCCTGAGAGATACAAACATGCAGAGAGGGTGTGGTAAGAGTGGTTTGTTAAAAGTCAATAACTACAGGTTGCTAGCCTAGTCACCAAATGGTGTCAGATTTAGGATGTCATATTCTACATCTGAAAATTAAAATCTTCTGCCATATCAAGGATTAACACTAATGATGTAAGAGACTAATGACCTAATCATATCTTTGCTCTTGATATCTTCCAAAGCCCTCTTTTTTAAATGGACAAAAAATAGACCCACTGCTGTTCAACGAGCATGTTATCACAGATGACAAATTAAGGGTTTGCTGAAATCAGATGTAGTGGGCCGAAAGGTGAAGCTATAACAGCCTAGCTGTGAACCACAAATTTCTAACCACCTTGTTAAGGGTGAACATGGAAGAAGAAGCTCTGGATATCAAAAACATTACAACATGGTTTCACAAGAACAATTTATATGTGCATGTGTATGCCCCCTATTGCATAAACTTCATCATTCAGGTTTTAAAGTTAAAGTCATTCAGGTTTCTCAGTCTCATCTGACATGAAGTATTTGGGGAGTGATGAAGTATTTGGGGAGTGATGAAGTATTTGGGGAGTGATGAAGTATTTGGGGAGTGATGAAGAATTTGGGGAGTGATGAAGTATTTGGGGAGTGATGAAGTATTTGGGGAGTGATGAAGTATTTGGGGAGTGATGAAGTATTTGGGGAGTGATGAAGTATTTGGGGAGTGATGAAGAATTTGGGGAGTGATGAAGTATTTGGGGAGTGATGAAGTATTTGGGGAGTGATGAAGTATTTGGGGAGTGATGAAGTATTTGGGGAGTGATGAAGAATTTATGGAGTGATGAGGAATTTGGGGAGTGATGAAGAATTTGGGGAGTGATGAAGTATTTGGGGAGTGATGAAGTATTTGTGGAGTGATGAAGAATTTGGGGAGTGATGAAGAATTTGGGGAGTGATGATGATTTTGCTGACATCCCAATAGGCAATTAGCAGAAGTGTGTTCTGTTACAATTCAGTAATGCCACAACTTTGGGTGATAGGCTAAATCTGTTTCACTCTTTTTGATGTTTTTGTATCAAAGATAATGACAGAACCACTGCAGTACTCGATATGACATTCAGCATGTATATATATGTATAAATGTATATAAGTGTGTGTGTATATATATATATATATATATATATATATATATATATATATATATATATATATATATATATATATATATATAGACATAACAGTTCAAAGGATCACACAAAAAAACACTGATATACTACAAGCCTATTATATGAAATTAATTGGTAATTATATAGAAAAACACAGTTGACATATTAATCCCATGTAAGGACAATAACAGTAGGCTAATTACAGTAAGTAATTTATAGATAAACTTGTTTCAGAGTTCTACTGTCCAGACATGTTATAGACTTTCTGTGACTGACTAACAAGTAACTAGTAATTGTGCATAATCTCAACTCTGACTTTCTCTAGAACAAAAATTAAAATGTTCCCTTCGCCAATGATTGGAGTCAGATTATCCATGCTGTGTCAGTGCTGCCATGACGACATGCTGCTTGTAAATATTACTTGTGACCCACGCTATTTCAACATGAGACAATCGCCATCAGTAATGGACTAGGAACCTTAACCTTACTAAGTCACATTCTTCTTCTTAAAGTTCACCAGCTTTAAACTCCAGCGGTAAGTTCTGGTTGTTCATCCCCCTCTAGACATCAGTCTTGTTACAAAACTTGAATGTTGCTGCACATCAGTTTTACAGATATAGCTTACTTGCATGCAGACTGTTGCCTCTTCGCCGCACAGGTAAATGTGTTCTGACTTCACAAGAAAAATCCCCAATTAGTCACTTTTACGACATTCTTGTTAAGGAGGCAGCTGGTTTTCTATCCAACCCATCCCCCCCCCTCCCCACAAATGGGAACCCAGAACCAAAACTGGCCAGTCACATTCTAAGAGAATGATAAGTGTATGTACCTCTCAGAATCAGAAGTCTGGCTTCGAAGTGCAAGTGTTTTACTTCTTTTAGATTCACATTTTATCTCTCTACAGAAATGATCAGTCATGTCAATGATTATTAAATGCTGTCCTAGTAGTTAACGATTGTCCATTGATTATTTAATGCTGTCCTAGTAGTTACCGATTGTCCATTGATTTAATGCTGTCCTAGTAGTTAACGATTGTCCATTGATTATTTAATGCTGTCCTAGTAGTTAACGATTGTCCATTGATTATTTAATGCTGTCCTAGTAGTTAACGATTGTCCATTGATTATTTAATGCTGTCCAAGTAGTTAACGATTGTCCAGTAGTTGACTGTCCATTGATTAATTGTCCTAGTAGTTTTAATTCATTATTTAATGCTGTCCTAGTAGTTAACGACTGTCCATTCATTATTTAATGCTGTCCTAGTAGTTAACGATTGTCCACTGATTATTTAACACTGTTCTAATAGTTAACAATTGTCCTAGTAGTTACCGATTGTCCATTGATTATTTAATGCTGTAAGTAGCGATTGTCCATTTAAAGTAGTTACATTGATTATTTAATGCTGTCCTAGCAGTTAACAATTGTACATTGATTATTTAATGCTGTCCAAGTAGTTAACGACTGTCCATCAATTTAAATGCTGTCCTAGTAGTTACGACGATCATTTGCTGCCCTAGCAGTTAACATTGATTTAATGCTGTCCTAGTAGTTAACGATTGTCCATTCATTATTTAATGCTGTCCTAGTAGTTAACGATTGTCCACTGATTATTTAACACTGTTCTAATAGTTAACAATTGTCCATTTATTATTTAATACTGTCCTAATAGTTAACGACTGTCCATCATTTAAAGCTCCCCTAGCAGTTAACAATTGTACATTAATTATTTAATGCTGTCCAAGTAGTTAACGATTGTCCAAATGTCCAAGCAGTTAACGTCCATTAATTATTTAATGCTGTCACCGTAAATTGTCCATTGTAATCAAGCAGAAATTGATTGTCTGAAAGCTTAGAAGTAGTCCATTCATTAATGCTGACTGACAGTTGATTAGTATGCTGAAGTAGGGTCATTAATTACAACTCTGTAGTTAACAATTGTCCTGCTAATGCTGTCCAAGGATGAGTCCTTACTATTAATCCAAGTAGTTAACAAGGTCCATTGATTATTTAATGCCCAGTGTGCTGTCCAAGGTTCTGTCCATTCATTATTTAATGGTCTCGATTTTGGTGGACAGGACTGAAGAATAGGGACTCCCACTGTCCCTATTAATCCAGACAAGGCTCCCAGTGTGGGTTCTGGGTCTCGATTTTGGTGGACAAAGAATAGACCCCCTGTCCCATTTAACTTGTTAGGGTAATTACTTTCAAAATCGGCGTGCGTCTGCCTGAGCAGCAAGTAACCAGCATTTGCACACAAATCCGTAAGACGGAGGCACACGCAAAACTCAAGTGCTGGATCAGGCCGAAGTCAAGGAGTGAATGCACAACCAGATCTACCAGTTTACAACGTTAAGAAGAATAAGAATCTGAATTCAGACACTCCTACTTCAGAACATCAATGGACACCCGGCCACCCATCAAACAGCCCTAGATGCTCTACCTCCACAAACATATTTCCCTACTTGCTGTTCACTAGTCCCTAACTTGCACACAAAAAGCAACATGCAACAGAAAAAGCAATTCTGATAAACATCTAATAAAAACACAGACCAGAAATCAACACTTACCATCCTTGTCTAGGGGCTCCAAATCAATGGTCTGTGTTTCTTTATTATAGGTCACATTCTCACATGGTGGAATGTTCAGCTCATTAACTTTGGCCACTGACAACTGGATATTGTGCTTGCGAGTGCTGAGGAATTCAACAGTCAGCAACTGACATTCTATAGGTATTTTAGTGATTTCATCCTTGTGTGGGTTCTGCGTCCCATTTGGAGGCGGGGGGAAGGAAAGAACGGACCCACTGCTCCCGTCCCCAACAAGCACACGTCACACAAGGTGACTAATTATGAGTTTGCTGAAATTTGATGTGTTGGATTCAAAGGCAAAAATATCACAGTCTAGCTGTAAACCACAACACAGCATTTCTACTGCTCTTTTAAGGGTAACAAAGAAAAAAAAAAGAAGTGATTTGGAACTGTAAAAAGATCTTCCTTTTCACTCATTATGTGTGTGTGTGACTGTTACATCTTTTTACTCTAATGTCATATTTCAGCATACATTTGTTAAGGTTCACAACTTTAGAGAGATGTCATTCAAAGTAAGAAGTTTATTTACCCGTGTTGTTGTTGGTGTTCATTCAATATGAGTGATGAAGATCACTTTTTTTTCAGAGTAGTAATGTTCAATAACTATGAGTATGAAGGTGGCTGATAAGTCTAATAAGAGCCCAGAAAGTTCTTGAGCAGTGCGGACAACAGGTGGAAGCTGCAAGTAAGTGTGGGATTAGCGATACGGTTCTTTCTAGAACTCCCATTTCTCTGCCTGTACACCCTCCGCTGCCTGGCAGGCTGAAGCACCATGCCTGAGGGATGTACGCCCTCAGCTGCCTGGCAGGCTGAAGCACCATACCTGAGGGATGTACGCCCTCCAGAACGGTCCAGTGCAGCAGCCTCCCATATTGTTGTGCTGATGTCAAAAGAACTGAGAGCTTATAGCACTTTTTCTGTCCTCCCTTGGACCTCTTCCCTCGCTGGAGCTCGCCATAAAATACTCTCTTTGGGAGGCGATAGTCTGGCATGGGGGTTGGGTGACAAGCCCAACATAGCTGATTTTTCTTCAGTATCGTGTGGATGCTAGGCAGGTTTGCCCTATCAAGAACCACAGTGTTTGGAATCTTTTCTTGCCATTTGATTTTAAGCAGCTTTCTGAGACAAGTTATATGAAACTGATTTAACTTTTTAGCATGGTGCTCTGTATACATGTTATTTTTTTGTTTTACAATCTTGGTAGTATCAATTATCCTGTAAGTGTGAAAAACCAATTTAAACAAATTTTTTTCTGATCCACAAAAATGTGGAGAACTAATCAAACTGACTTTTCATATACATATTGTGTAAATTTTTTGCTGTTTAAAGTAACAGTACTGTGCTATACATTTGCACAAATTGCAAAACCTGGAAAGTCTAGCAACATCTAATATGATGACTTTTGATAACTTTTAGACTGAAATGGTGGAAGACCAGAATTGTTTCCCATCAGGTGAAACAGCAAGTCCTTAGTGAAAGAAGACTCTTGAAATACTGTAACTTGAAAACAGCAGCTACATTGACTTAGACCAATTATTTATTTCATAAAAAATAGTGATTCAAACGTTGACAAATTTGACTAATGTATGACCCAGCATACAAAGCACCTGAAGTCATCAAAAGAAAACTAATACACTGCCATATGTGAAGAAAAAAATTAATCTAACCTTGTATGCACAATTGTTGGCATTGTTAAATCTCCCACAGAACATGCACTGGTGTTTGAAGACTGCCTCACGAGGGTCTGGCCAGAGGCATCTGCAAGTAGAGATCATTTTATTTGTTCTGTCTTTTTTCTTGGACTCTTGGGCACCGAAATGCTACGAGAACCCACCTACTGGCTCGCTGTGCAGAACCCACCTACTGGCTCGCTGTGCAGAACCCAGGCTTGATAGCAAGCAGCTGTTTGAGCATGAAATATGAGACACAATGTACAGAATATTTTCTTGTTCTTTCACATTCACCGGCTGTAAACTCTAAATTCTAGTAGTTCATCCACCATCGAATTTTAGACTTGTTCTAGAACCTAAGTGGTGCTTGCATATCTGTTTTACAGATCTGACTCTCAGGCAGATGCACTGATTTAAGAATCAACATCCCAGCTTCCAAGCATACCACAGATGCTCCAGCTTCTGCAGCAAATGTCTTGAGGTGAAGATCCTGACCGTTCCATTAGCACACTGGTTGTACACATATATTTCTCCTCTTACACATTAATTTCTTGTCAGTTCAAAATTCACACATCCTTATTTTTCTTTCCTCTAAAATCATATCTTCCTTCAACATTCATTCACAGACTGTCTTACCAATGTCTCCCTTGTCAAATATGAGTATTCCTGTTGCTATTGCTTTAATAGCATGTTCCGTTACAGTATTTCCACATGAGTCCAGGTGAAGTGGATGTGCTACTCTTGGTAACACTCAGGCCACAGTTGTCCATTTTATACCTGCTTCTGCAACACTGAAAATCAGATGTTGGCTCTGTATTTATGGAGGCACCCATCAATGGCAGGGAATGCAGTCTGCACACAAATAAGCCAGACCTGTAAAAATGGATGTGCACTCAAAACTCAAGTTCTGGATCAAGACCAAAGTCCAGGAGTGGATGAACAACCAGAACTTTCCACCACAGTTTATAACTGGTAAGTACCAAGAAGAAGAAACCACTTCTGGAGTTTATTCTTGCTCCAGTACTTGAGTTTTGCATGCACATTCACTTTACAAATCTGACTTACTTGTACGCAAACGGTTCCTTGCCTCTCAGGGGATGCACTCAGACTTTGCAGACAAAACCCTCAATTAGTTGCCTTTTGCGACAGATTAGGGAGGCAATGGGTCTGTTATTTCTCCCCCCCCCCAAATGGGATTCAGTAGCCAACACAGGGATAAAAGGAGTGTGTATTTAATTCACTCGGAAGTTGTACAGCCAGGGCTTCTTTTGTTGTTGTTGATTTTATTGGTGTTATGTATTACCGGCACCGTTTTTTTATACATCAGTTTTTCAGTGCTACTGTAAAAAGACACTATGAAGTGAGCATTGGTATCTTTCTTTAGATTCTTTGTGGTGAGTAGCTGCCCATTTCTTTCTAGAAAAATACAAAGCCAAGAGTACTCATATACATCTTCTGCTGCAATTATTGCCTGAGCCAGACACCCAACTTTAAGGAGCAGGACTGAAAGAGTTAGAAGAGGTAGTCTAAATGCCGCCATGCCTGCCCTACCTGTAATGGGGATGCCAAGATCTCTTAGGACAGAATCTGGATCAGAGGTCACGCTATCAATACTCGCTTGAGAAAATGATGATTGACTCTGAAATGTTCAGTTGATCATGGTTCAATGCACATAATGATACAAATTTAAAGCAGATAATAATACAGATTTTAAAAATGACACACATACACACACACATGCATGCACACATGCATGCACACATGCATGCGCCATGCATGCGCACAAGCACACATATGCATACTTATGCCCATGCATGCTCACATACATCATTCTATGTAATCATTCTATGTTTTACTTCTTCTTTCTTCTTCTGCGTTCGACATCAGTCATGCTAAACATTGAGTCCCATCTGGGTCACAAATAGGATTGTGCGTTTAAGCTCGCCACCGGTCCCCCATAGCTTCTCTTGCAATGTGGCTCCCTTGGGCCAGATCCACAGTCTTTGCTGGGAGAGGTTAGGGCAGTACTGCAGTATGTGCTCAGGGGTCTGTCTTTCTGCTCCACAATCACAGGCAGCAGATTCTTTTATGCCTATCCTGTACAGGTCTGCTCGAAGACCACAGTGTCCTGTCCAAAGTCTAAAAATTGATGTTTGTTCTTTCCTAATGAGTTTGTTTAGGCTGTCACTCTCTGGTCTGTAATCTCCATTCTGCCTTCTCCGCTCCCTCTTAAAAGACTGCTTTAGTGCTGTTTTGGTTTCCTTGTAGCTGTGTGGTGGATGAGGTTGTGGAAGATTACTCCCAGCTTTTACCAACTCATCTGCTCTCTCATTTCCTTGAATACCACAGTGGGCTGGTATCCACTGCAAGACCAGTTCTGCTTCCATGGAGAGTAAGCCAATGTTGGTCCTTAGATCAGCTATTAGTTTCTCTTTTTTTTTGCTGGACAGTGCTTGGAGAACAGACAATGAGTCACTAAGTATAATAATTTTGTGCCCTCTGTATTCTTGAGTGATGAGATGTTAGACTGCAGAAAGGAGGGCAGTTGCCTCAGCTCTGAAGTTAGTGCAGATGTCACCTGCTGGTAGAGACAGAGTTTCTGCTCTACTGCTAGGGGGTTTAATGTATATTCCACAACCCCCCTTTCTGACTGCATCTGTAACAGAGCCGTCGGTGAAAACCTGAGTCCAAGTGGTGTTTGGATACTTCTCATCAAGCATAGCAAGAGCCAGGGTTCTCTGTTGTAATGTTTTACTAAATATATCTGCTTACTGAGTATTTAGCATGCCTGTCTATACTACAAGCAGGCTTTAAATAATGACCTTAAAAGTGTGACAGAAATACCAATAATCAAACTATTTTCTTTAAAACTGTCAATATTGTTGTTAAGGATGTCGACAGTGTTTAAGTATGAGGCATCACAGATAGCAATACTTAATGGCAGCACATTTGTTAGAGCTTATATAGTTCAGTATTTTTCACTTCTGTATTTCTTGCAAGTCACTTTTCTTGCAAGGTTACATACTTGGTTGCTGGCATGGTGGTTATAGATTTGAATCATCACTGAAGTAGATTTTTAATTCTTTCAGTTCCAAGGAATGCATCATACGTTCATAGGTTCCTACCTAAAATCCCGATGAAAACAAGATTCTCTGATTATTCTTTGTATAACCCCTAGGGTCTCTGATACTAAACCCCTGGAAGTGAAAGAGTTAAAATTATACAGGTTGACATAAATTCAAATGAGTACCAGAAAATCCTATAGAAAGTGAGGGCAGCTGATATGATACTGACAATATCTCTTCTATATGCTGCCTCATTATTATAAAATTGTGGCAAGCAGTACATGCTCAGTTTGCAAGACATGGAAGGGGGATTTTTCTTTTGTTGACTTTTCTGAATATTTTATAGATCTTGTAATCATATAATATCTGCAAGTAATAGAGGGAATTTAATGGTGTGACAAAATCACTAATGTTGAGCTTTTAGAGGAAACTAAACAAATTCCACAGAATCAAGAGCTGAGGAAAAGACGCTGGTGTTGGATTGGACATACATTGAGAAAACATGAGAACTCTTTAATTACAAAGGCTTTAAACTGGAATCCACCAGGGCATATAAATAAAGGTAGACCCCCCCCCCCCCCCCCAAAAAAAAAAAAACACAGGAGGGAACTAGAGAGTAAAGTTAAAAAGATAAGGAAAGCTTGGGGTGAGCTGCATGCGATATGAAAGAATAGGATGATTTAGTGTGATTTGGATGAGGGTCTATGGTCTAATTAAGGATAAAGGCAGAAGAAGAATCACATAATATACTTTAATGTTCCAATTTCTGCTCTGCTTCCAACTTCCTACAAAAAAATATGCATCAAAATATACTAATCTTGTTATAAATTCACCTGCTTATTCAAGTTTCAGTGCATATTATGCTGCCACAAATATGATGTATGAAAAAAGTTAGAACACATTAGTTTGGATTTCTCCAACCCTTTCATAATTTGACAGTCAGAGTTGTACACATTCACGGTTGTAAATGGGTCATGCAGAAAAATCAGCAAAGCAGTAATTTGTATGTGAAAAATCAATGCTATCAAATACTAGGGCCAGAAAAGATTGTATATGTAAGACGGGAAACAAAATCCGGCTATCCTCCGAATAACTTTCCCAAATTAACGAGGCCGAAAATATACCCTAACAGGGCCTCAGTCACGTGTCAACTAAGCACTTCCAGGGACTATACCGCCACCGCCGAATTGCGAACTTCCGGGGACTATACCGGCACCGTCGAGAGTATTCGCCACGCCGCGTGAGCGGCGTGGATTGGGGCTCAACTAGATGGCTGGAACTCACGAGCAAATAAAAATGAAGGAAGCTGCAGGAGATGCGGTAGCTGCTGCTTGTGAGTCCCAGTCATCTAGATTAGCTCCTCGGCGGTGGCGGAAGTACGCAATTTAAGTCACCAGGAAGTGCGCAATTAACACGTGACTGAGGCCCTGTTAGGTATTTTTTCGGCTCGATAATTTGGGACCGTTATTCAGAGGATAGTCCAAAATCCAACCGAAGCCTTAGACGTAAAAATGCAATAGTAATTGAAACTAACAGCAATTCTGTGTAAAGATGCAATTAATTTAAACGAAGGACGTTGACACGCAAGCAAATCACGCATATGAAAGCACTCAGGACTAAAAGTAGGCGTTGGTCTTTAGTGGCGTCTTTGGTGGCCGGCCTACGTCCGCACTTACTGCAACGGAACCTTTCGGCCACTCTCTTAAATACACAACTGCAATTAATCATTAAAACTGATGAAATAATGTTTATCTGTATATATTCAGTAAAAATTATTGCTCTAATGAATGTTGAAAATAACTTTCAGATGAATAAAAAAAAACATCTTCCCTTACCTCCGTCTTTTTCGCAATCTCCTTCTCTTTCCTTTCCTTTCGCAGCTGCTCGATTTGAGCTTTCTTCCTCGCAATTTCAGCTCGCCTGTCAGACATGATTTCTGTGGTGAACTGGCGATATTTAGTTCCACAAACAAATAATCAATCTTTATGAAATCAACGTCGAATAACGACCCAGTGACTCACGACAGATTCAGCCACCCGTTGCCTACCTGCAGCAGATTGTTTCGCGTCTGCTAGTTGAGGTTTTTGCTGGATAGAAATACAATTAGTTTATAAATAGGCGCTGGTGGGCAAATTAATCAATCAATGAGGTGCCGTCTTCACAATGAAGATCAGCTGTGATTGATCTCCAGACACTCTTGTCTTGGTAGTATTTCCTCGCAGACTGTTGTTTGTCTGTCTCTTGGTATGTTGTCCTCCCAATAGTATCCTTGTGTACCTCTCCATCTCTTCCTTTGGACTCGTCCCTCCTTCAAGCGGGAGTGGAGAAGGCAGAATGGAGATTACAGACCAGAGAGTGACAGCATAAATAAACTCAACAGGAAAGAACAAACAACAATTTTTAGACTTCGGACTGGACACTGTGGTCTTCGAGCGCACCTGTACACGATAGGCCTGTGATTGTGGATCAGAAAGACAGACTCCTGGGCACATACTACAGTACTGCCCTTACCTCTCCCAGCAAAGACTGGGTCTGGCCCAAGGGAGCCACATTGAAAGAGAACCTATGGGGGACCGGTGGCGACCTCAAACGCACATTCCTATTTGTGACCCAGACGGGACTCAATGTTTAGCATGACTGATGTCGAACGCAGAAGAAGTATGGTTTTTAAATGAAGAATATTCTATGCAATCCTATCTTTGTCAATTGAGACTAGAAAGAGATTTTTCAATAGCTACATAAATCATATCCTGATATACTGAAGTGATTGTATGGATGATTAGTGAAAACTTATTTCTGAACGGCGGAGACGTGGTTTTGTAGACGAATGATGAGAATACCCTGAACCAGGCCTGAGGCGAGGTGGGTGCCGCGGCACATTGTTTCCTGGCCTAGGATTTCTGTAATTGTTCATTGAAAAGCATTCAATTCTGTATTCCCTATGTGGGTTCCGGGGCTCTATTATAGGGAAAACAAGAATAGACCCACTGCCTAGCCAAAAGCATGTCGTAAGAGTCGACTAATTGGGAGCTTCCTTCGAAGTCGGAGTGCATCTGCATGAGAGGCAAAGAACCAACAGTCTGCATACCAATTATTCAGATCTGTCAAACGGATGGACACTCAACACTCATGTTCTGGAACAGGACTGCAGTCCAGAAGTGGACGAACAATCAGAATTCTCCGTTGGAGTTTACAGCTGCGGACTATTTGTCTTGCGCTGGTTTCGACAGTGGTACCGAGAGCTGGCCGTTCACATGCAATGGCAAACTAAAGTTAGTTGCGTATCCTTTAAGTGACGTTGCAGAACCAACTTTAGCATTTTTGGCTGCTGTGGTTTTTCTAGGCAAATTTACGTCCAGTAGTTTGGCAAAATAGAGAAAGAAGTTTCTGAAGAGCAATTTGGATTCCGTAAAAACAGTGGTACTCGAGAGGCCATAATTTGTCTAAAGATGTTGACTGAAAATATATAGAAGTTCAGAAAAATATTTATGCATGTTTTATAGATTACAAAAAAGCTTTCGACAGAGTGCAATATGAACAACTAATTGCAGCTCTTCAAAACATAGGACTAGAT